TTTGAGTTTTGAAATTAAAAAAGTCTGATGGGGGGGGGGGGGGCGCGCGCGCGAAGGTGAAGTGGTGGCCTTGATGATCAATTTAGAGGGGGTGGGGGTACTAACTTGATAAGGTGATTTTTAACTATTTGACTGTAATTTTTTAGGGGGTTTGCGACTGGGGGTGCGAGTAATTTTTGGAGGGGCGTGTCCCACGCATCCCCCGAGATACGCCACTGCTCCCATTTTTTAAATTCTGGATTCTTTCCTGTCTACATGCTTAAGTGTTGCTGCCATATTGGTGCATTAGCAGGCAATCCCACCAGGTAGTACCATTTAAACTCCTGGGTAGGGAGAAGCAACGTCGCGAACAAATTGCACAGCGAATTATTGAAACCCCGACCTCGAGGTTAAGAAACCAAACCGTTGCCGCTGCGCCAAACGGATTCCACCGCTTCATTCGTTTTTTCAAGTAAAAAATTTCAGAGAAAAAAACATGTAATTTATATATTAAAGATGTATTGTCCCATGCAAGATACCAATTTTTTTGAAATTTACTTGCCCATTTTGAAGTAACATAAAAGTTATAAACTTAAACATAGAAATGAGTTTATTTAAAAAATGTTTACCCATCAGTTTGCAGCGAAAAATGATGGAAACACTTCCAGTCACTGGAAGTGTTTTATTATTTTTATTATAATTTTATGGTTTCAAAATCAGTGTGTACATTTTTAAAATTTAATAATTTCTTTGCTTAAGTTAATCATTTGTATGTTACTGCAAAATGAGCAATTAATTTCAAAATTATTTTTTATGATTTTTTGACATTTAGCAAGGGACAACACAAAAAACAAAAAAAAAACAACCTATTAAATTTAGCTTTTTGTTAAGCTAGTATAGCAGTCAAAACGTTGCAAGTAAGCTAAAATTATTATTAAACAAAAAGAAAAGGTTTTATAATATATACATATGGTATTATCATGTTAGCAAAATGTCACGAATTACCGATGTCACCGCGCCCACCTGAGGAATACAGGTGTAGATACCACTTTTATCCAATGTGTTTATTACGCAACTTGCGATTGGTTGAGTAGTGTAATGTGATGGGAGTTAACTCACTCTCCTACTCTCACGCTATTGCTGTAGTAAAAACCAGGAAGTAGCTGTGTGCGTGATCGCGGAAGTGTCTCCGTTATTTTTCCTGCAACTTGAAAACTGTTTCAAGATATTCTAAGTGAAAAGGTAATGTGTTAAGTGCCTAATAAAATGTACACTATGTTTTTGCATGATGTATTAGGATAAGCCTGTGATTATCGGTTGCCGGTGTGTGTTCGTTGCAGAGGTCCTAGCTAGGCCTAGCTTAGTGCAAGGCCACCAATTGAGCATGACTCCGCCTTGGGATGTTTTCATACGTATGCCTAGGCCTAGAGTTCTAACTATGCCTACGTATACAGACCTAACAGGGATGGACTACTGAATAGGCCTACTGGTAGGTTACTGTTTTATTGACAAGGAATAGTGCGTGAAATATACGATAGACTATTTTGTTCATACCAAAGAAACTTAAAAAAAACAGATAAAGTATTTGTTTTGTGTTAGGCCTATTATAGTATTGCTTTAGATATAGCAGGAGTGAGTCATGATGTAGGCCTATGTATCACGATTTATGCAAATCATATCCTCTTATAGTTAGCTAAGCTATCTTTCATAGTCCAAACTTCACAATTATGCATATCTTATTATTTTTTATAGTCCCGGATTTTAAAGATATTTTAAAGATAGCACTTAGTATTATTGTAACCTCCTTGTTTAGGGCACATACTGTAGAAACAAATTATTAGATATTTTGGCCTCACTCTTTAAAAAAATAATTGATGAGGGTGGGCGATGTTTTTTTTTATCGGAACAATAGAATATTGCATCTTTTTTTTATCGATGAGGCGGTAAACTGTTTTTATTTGAATGCCAGTCAATTCGAGCGAATGCCAGTTAGAGCGGATGCATTTAGTGCGAACTATAACAAGGGTGAATTTATCTTTGCCCTATTTTTTTATTTGTGAGTGAAATAGTACTTTCGTTTGTTTTAAATGTAAAAATACTCTATGCACTAAAGTTCTGAAATGTTTTTGGTACATTTGATATTTATTTGATGTTTGAATTACAGTTTTGGCAAATCCGACTACCAGATGGCCACTAACAAGAAAGCCTAGGCCTATATTTTAAAATTATTGAATTGCGCATGTTTCATTCTGAATTTACAGTTTTTGTCTCCAGTTTTGTATGTAAAAAAGCAAATTATATTTGTAATTAAATTATGTTGTAATTATATTTGTAGTCCCTAATTTTATGATTTATATTTGTAAATGGGAGTAACTGTAATTGTATTTGTTATTCAACGTAGAAATTTAATTTTAATTGTATAATTTACATATCTAGCTGTGTCAGAAGGTAGAGAAGTTATTGGTGATAGTGTGACAAGACTATAGAGTACAGTGTTACCTCACGATACAACGTGATACTACTCCGTTGCTATCGTTGCTTTGTAAATTTTAATTGATGATTAAATGCGTGTTCGATAACTAATATAATGTGAGCTTTTGTGATTTTAGTACATTTTGATGGTAAAATATTAGATTTTAAAATGCCTATTCCAGAAAGCCTATGAAGTCATTCAGGCGTAATGAACGGTAACCAATGTCTGTTGACAACAAAGAGCTGCGCCACCTGGCGTCGTGACGACACGACTGTGGTTCTCTATGAATAGTACAGTAATAAACACACATGACATCATATCAATTTTTCCCACTATTCACCATTCGTCTATAGTTCAAAAGCCTTTCTTAATGTGAGTGGAAAGAATAAAAATTACGAATGACTATGATAAGATAAATGATTATTTTTATGAACACAGGTATGCTTAATTTTGAATTGTTAACCTAAAAATCAATAAAATATGACTTCTATACATAAGGCTATAGGCTTCTCCCCCGGAACCCACCGGCTCCCAGGCCCAGCTTGAGCCTCAGGCGAATGCAAATGTTAGCTCAAAATAGGAAGTTTTTAAGTACTTACTTCGTACATAACTTGCACAGGTTGTTGTTCGCATAAGGGGATCTTTTTCTGCTCGAATTAGCATCCGCTCGAAGTTAATTCTGCTCGAATCCGCCCGAACTGGTATTTGCTCGAAGTGGCATCCGCTCAAATTGACTGGTTCCCTTTTTATTTGGCAAGAATATTGTAAATATTGTATAAAAACTGGTTGAATTTTGTCTTTTAAAGTAAATTTCCAGTCACAAAATTGCATTGTTTTTTATGCTGTTTTTATAATGTGGCAAAAAACATTTTTTTAAATTCCCCCATCAGTATATCCAAAATATTTGATGCGGCCGGGAGTGATAATCTAACCATTGTTCTTAGGCCCTATAATTTTAAAGTTTGATCATAGTAGTACCTGCATGACAATTCAATAAATTTATGATTATGTACTCTATCCTAATCAGTTGAAGTTGTATGAAATGACAAAAGTTCATGTTAACTTGTCTCGTATCTGACCTGTAAATAACTCTTTAATGCTAAGTACAGTACCATGAATGTTATACATCATGGTACAGGATTATTACATTATAATATCTACTTGGTTTTTTAGTACAGTATTTATTTTTATTTTTCATCTAGTCTATAAATATTATAACTGATATCCAACTTATTTTTTGTACTTGTCAGGCCTAGGACATAACACAATTCACATTATGTCTATGTGGCGTTCCCAGACAGTTAGCGCAAGTAATGTTCAAGCTGATGATGCTGATGATGATTGGGAAACTGATCCAGATTTTGTGGTAATGTTTATTTAATGTACTTTTTTATATTCTTGTTATTACTAGTACAGTAGTAGATAAACTCAAATTGTAACCTGGATTTTAAGTAATGAAATAGCTATGAGATACAACTGTAATTTGGTATTTTTACAGAATGACATAAGTGAAGAAGAACAGCGATGGGGAGCCAAGACGGTAGAAGGGTCAGGCCGCCAAGGTGCTGTAAAGTAAGTTTTTGCAGCTACAGTAGTTTAATCTACTGTAAACCATTGTTAGTTTGATCTCTGTGTGCAAACCAGTTAAATCTGTTGACACTATTATGTTATATATATTATATCTTGAACAATGTTATTCCTTTGTTATCAGTGTCTACTATATTTGATTTGTAAAATTGTATTTTACATATTTAAGGTGTTATTCTGTTTTGTAGCATTAAAAAGCTTCGGGAGGAAGTCCAAGTTGATGATAGCAAATTCAAAAAGTCTCAGTTTGAGGCTGGACCAAAGGCATCATATGGGTATGGAGGTCAGTTTGGAGTTCAGAAAGACAGGATGGATAAGGTGAGTACCAGTGTAAATGTTGTACATTCTTCGGAATACAATAGAGGATAGTCTCCCGCCCAATTCACAATAAGAAGGACCACACTAGAAACAAGTTTTAGTGTCAAGAGTAAAGCTCCTCTCTTCCTGATTGTGTAGCCTAAATATTACATTTACATTTTTTTATTTCATTTATGTGGCTTTTTGATATTTGGTGCCAGTGGGGGGAATAGGGGAATTTCCTCTTGTCGACCCCTTGTTTCGGACTCCACTGGCAGACTTATTGGACCCCTGTTGGCAAATTTCCGGAGTCATAACAGATTTCAAATTTCTGTAGTTTTCATCCCATTCCCATTTATTTTCATGTTTTCAGAGTGCTGTTGGTCATGAGCACATGGAAAAACTTCAACAACATGCGTCACAGAAAGATTATGCGAAGGGGTTCGGGGGTAAATATGGTGTCCAGACAGATCGTAAAGATAAGTCTGCTGTTGGTTTTGAATATGAAGGAAAAGTTGATAAACACGCCTCACAGAAAGGTATGGAATTTGTAGGGTGCTTAGAAAGGGAGTTGGGGAGAGGTTTATACAGTGTTCCATAGGACCTTGAGGTCTCAGTAGATGACCTATTTTAAAACAGTAGACCCACAAAATTAGGTGTTTTAAGGCCTGTTTATACTTGCAACGATAACGATAAAAGGCTAAAAAGCATTGTTCATTTAGAAAATAATATAAATAAGAAACGTTTTTACATTCGGACGATTCGATAACGACTTATCGTATATACAATAACAAAATATTTTGACAAATCAATTAAAATGACGTTATAATCATGGAAAGACCATAAAATCTTTGTTACTACTATGATTTTATCGTTTTTCAATGATTATGATGTCATTTGAATTTATTGGTGAAATTAATTTTTATTTTATACAAGATAAGTCGTTATCAAATTGACCTAGTGTAGAAACTTTTCTTATTTATTTTATTTTGTATATGAAAAATTGCTTTTTAAGCTTCTTATCGTTATCGTTGCAAGTATAAACAAGCCTTTATGGTATACAGTCAGTTTGTGGGGAAGGATGTTAAGTGTTGGAGGTTCAGGGATAGTGAAGGGGATTGTTGTTAGTTTATCCAGCGGTCCAATAATTTGCCTTCAGGAAAAATTTCTTTTTCAAACCAATAACAATTTGATTAGTTTTACATATGTAAAAATGGTTATTTTAAATAATTTAATTATCTTTATAGATTATTCTACTGGTTTTGGTGGAAAGTATGGTGTACAGACTGATAGAGTTGATAAGGTAGGTTACGGTAGTAAATTTAAATTAGTGATTATGTATGGAAATTTTTTTGAAATAATGTATGTTTTACACATTTTATTTTTTAGTCTGCTGTTGGTTTTGAATATCAAGAAAAACTTGCTAAACATGATTCTCAGAAAGGTAAGTGAAAGTAGTTCAGATTTCTTTATTAAGTTAGTCTTGCATTGTATTTCATTTTTGTTCAACAGCAAATAAAGTGCTAATTTAATTACATGTAATGTGTATGTCAAATCAGGACAATTCACTTTTCGTGTGGTCACAAAATGAATTTGAAAATTAGACAGCTTATAATATGAAGCTAGTGTTAGTGAAGAAAGTAATGCAAGTGGAGATTGACAGAATATTGACACAATGCTGTACAGAGTGTTCCATTATTCAATCCTAAAACCAAGTCTAAATTGTATTAACAATCTGACAATCAACAACTTATCTACACCTCTATTCTATTTCTTTCATATTGATATATTTATTTTTCTTTTATATGCAGATTATGCAACAGGATTTGGTGGAAAATATGGTGTTCAAAAAGACAGGGTTGATAAGGTAAACTGCACACACAATGTTAATAATTTACTACTAATTAATTTACATTGATAGATCAGTTATTCATGCAATTAAATTATGATCAGTATACTTTCACTTAACTTTAACTATTGTAAATTTTTTTTCTTTTAATGTGAAACTAGTATCAACCACTATATGTCCAGATTATGTCCCTTGTCCAATTGCATCAAGCTGCACTCATGTGAAATGTAGGTTATAGGACACTTAATCTTTCAGAAAAGAACTTTAAAGTCATAACCATGTTAAAAATGCAGTACAAAAGCAAGCAGATTATTAGTGGTGTAAAGTGGTGGGCTCAGGGGCACTGCTGATCAATTAGATAAATTCCTTTTATATTCTTCATGGCTTAATTCATAATTCTTCTCTGTTGATTTATAGTCAGCACTTGGGTTTGATCACCAGGAGAAACTCTCCAAACATGAATCACAAAAAGGTAAGGATTTTTTCTTTGGTTTCTAATGTGTTGTCTCAGCAACTGTAATGTACATACATTGTATCTAAGTATGTGTTGCTGTAGAAACTGTAATACACATGTATTAGATCTAAGTATGTGTTACCATGGAAACTGTAAGGCTCAAGTATTCGGTCTAAGGAAGTGTTTTGCTACATACTTGTGAGCTGGGAACTTGACTCCTAGTTTTTTTAAAGACATGATAAGATCATAGACAAAATTCTATTTTCTCTAAAAGATGGAATTTTCATACAGTATTAACGTCTTTTGCTTCAGATTACGCCACTGGATTTGGAGGCAAATATGGTGTGCAAAAGGATAGGTTTGATAAGGTAAAGGCTTGTGGTAATTTAGTAGGTTTTAAATCGCATTTGCAGTTAATAAATTATGTTTTTGTTGAGCTAATATATTAGTATATTTAAATAACAAACATTTCCAAAGTGTCAATCAATTTTAACAATTGACTATTCAGAACAGGGCCAGGTATATATGCGTGTCCTACAAAGGCATTTGTGTGCATATGTTTTTACACTGCTGTTTTTTGGCACCTTAGCAACAAAATCCAAGGGGCGGAGCTTGGTGGTAAAGTAATTGTCTTTCAGTTGAATATAAAATTGTTTTTAGCCATTTAGTAGAAAATTAATTATACCTGTTCCTGTGCATTTATAACACATTCCATTAATTTAAAAAAAATATATACTATTACTTAATTCTTTATAAAGCTTTATCTACACTATCAAATTTCATCGAAAAAAGCATCACATAAAATATGATGGAACATAGTGTTGAACACGTACAACTTATTTTGATACAATTTGATGATATGTGATATGACGTCATCGTGCCCATATATGGGCACATCACATTTTTTTGTCACATAAAGTTTGATAGTTTAGACAAAGCTTTACATTAATATCATTTTATGATAAAAACTAAAATTAATAAATGTTAAGCATTAATAATTCTTTCATTATTTGAGATTGATAAACAATTCATTTTGTTGATCAGTAATAATAATATTGTTTATTTAGTTTCTGTACTTATTTATATTTTATCTCTGTTTAATTTAGTCTGCTCTAGGGTTTGATCATCAAGAAAAACTTTCTAAACATGACTCTCAAAAAGGTATGACTTCTAATTTGAAAATCGCAAGTTGATATGAAGAAAGGATTCGGTGGGAAATTTGGGGTTGACAAGGGCAACCAGGATTCTAGCGCAGGGTCTTTTGATGATATGGCAGGTCCCAAGCCTTCATACCAAAGAACAAGGACAGATCCAAGTAAGTATTTCTTGTAATGTCAAATCAGTCAGTTAATCAATAAAACCAATCAAACCAACCAACTAATCAATCCATTATTTAATGCATCTATCAATCAATTGATTGATCAAATAATCAATCAATCAATTATTCAACTTGAGTATAGTTACAATGATATATAAATTGTTCTGGTTCTTCAATCAATCAATCAGTCAGTCAGTAAGTCAATGAATTATACAACTTTGTTATCATTTGATAATAATAATATACTTTATTTTTACACGGATACACTTGCTTCACCCAAGGGTGTTTTTCGCCAAGGCCGTGCATGGCCATATGTAAAGTAACAAAATATAAGGAAAAGGTAAAAGTAAAAGAACAAAAAGAAAACTACATTTAAACAAAAGGTTAGCAAATAGCAAAAAGGGGTGTGGCGAATAATAATCATGATTTAAATGTTATTATGTTTGGTTAAGGTTTTTCTGGGATAACGACAGAGTTATAGAGTATAGTTACAAGGGAATATAATTTTCTGCTTCTTCACTTACATGGGGGAGGGGGGTGGGGACATCTTAACCACCCCATTCAACATAATACAATTTATATTATAAGATTATTGCTATATTTTGAGTTACTTTTTGATTGACCCACAGAATCAAGTGGTGCTGGAAACTTGCGTGCACGATTTGAGAACATGGCCAAAGCAGAAGAAGAGGTGATTTCACTTGATTCATATATTTAGGCATTAGGCACACATGCAAAGGAATAGTAAAATATTATTGTCAATTGTGCCCCACTATAAGAAAATGCCTATAAAAAATGTGCTGGCTATTTTTTATGTACTGTGCCATTGTGTATGAGGGACCAACATCATAATATAAGCTTTTTAGCTATTTTTTTAACTTGGTCAGTAAAGTTTTTTTTAAAAACTTGCAGGCATATAATTGCTGCCTGGTAGAATAGGAGATTTTGTTTATGTGCAAATTTCATAACTGAGTTTTCTGATTGAAAGGAAAAGAACACATTTTGCATAACAATGCTTGCATATTCTTAGTAAGCATTTTGCTGGACACTTACTACATTTATGTTATGTATACCCCTGAGTATAGTTCTAATGTTAAACGACATATGTGACAATATGTTATTACAATCATATGATTTTATTTTAAGTTGTGTTATTTTAGGTGAATGTAGTATTATTATTATGATAATATGAATTTAATAATTGCTGATTATGATAATAATATTGATGATATAATTTATGAGTGATTTGTTTTTTTCTTTTTGAATCATAAATAAATACATTTTTTAATAATAATGGTACAGTACTATTATAATGATATTGAAAAACATTAATGATTAAAATATTATATCGTTTGCTTTTTAGGAGGGGAAAAAACGGGCTGAGGAAGAGAGGGCAAGAAGACAGGCTAGAGAAGAGAAGGAAAGACAAGAATCTAAGAAAGTGGAAGAGGTACAATTTGGTGTACAATAAATAATACTGGTTGTTGAGTTTCGGAATAATTTTGGATAAGTTTTATTGGTTTGTGGTAATGTATTGTACTGAAGTACAAAAACAATGCAATAATATATTATGTTGTGTGGATTTTTAGATGCGACAGAGAGAACTAATTGCACAAAGGAAAGCAGAGGAAGCCGATACACATCAGGAACCAGAACCAGAACCAGAACCAGAGGAACGATATGAACCAGAAGAACGATATGAACCAGAAGAACGATATGAACCAGAGGAAAAGTATGAACCGGAGGAACCAGAACCAGAGGAACCAGAAAGACCACCACCACTTCCAAGAAGAGAACCTGAGGAAGAAGTGAGCTATGGCAATGTTGACCAAGATCAGCCATCTGAAGACCTCTATGAAGAGACACCTGATATGCAGGCAACAAATGAGGCAGAACCACAGGGAACATATGAAGATGGTAATGTAGATGGTCTAAATCTTTGTTTTAGAGCTACACCCTATGCCTTATAAAAAATACTTAATTCATTGTAATGCCTCAATGGCCCCAAATGATCAGATCTCCATTCCCTGAGTCTCTTTTGGTTTTAAAACTATTAGATAGTTAGTTGAGTTGTTGACTAGCTCTTTCAGTGACTTGCTTCTCCCCTAAGGGTCAAATTTGTGTCTGAGCTACCTGGTAAACCGGTACCAGCTAATCTCGTCTGTCCCAAGCTTTATTATTCTAGATTTGGTTGTAGAGCTTTGATGGTCTCAAAGGATCAGCTCTCTACACCTCCAAGCTTCAATAACAACTTGTGATCAACCTTACAGGATAATAATAAGCATTTCCTTTTACCTGTTGTGTAGTTCCAGCCCCACAACCAGAAGAGGAGGATCCATATGATGATTTAAATCCTTCAGGTGGTGTGGCTGATGCTTTGTATGATTACCAAGCAGGTAGGTCTAGGAAGTAATTCATTTCACTCAGAAATACTATGACATGGGGTTGTACCTTGCATCATGTTTGGAACAATTGAATATTAAGGGAGTCAACCTTACCCTAGTTTTAACTGTCAAAATTGCACAATTTAATTGCAAAATTTTGAAATGGTGATTACCACCCTTTACATCTTTCGGTTTTCTAATATCCAATTTTCTAAATTTGGGTCTACCCCTGAAAGTGTACAGATACTACAACATATAACATTTTAAGCCTATTATTTACTATCCCAAAATGAAAACACTAACTAAATTTCAAATTATTATAATTTATGTTATAATAATGTATAGTATCATAATAAACACAATAAAATATATAATAATAAGAATATATGATTAATATCTTTACACATTATTAATAAATTATTATTTGTTTTTTAATTATTTGCCAGCGGATGATGATGAGATATCTTTTGATCCTGGTGATGTTATTACAAATATAGAACAGGTATGATCATAATGTTATGTATTAAAAATCATGAAAATTGTATAAAACTGCATTCACATGAGATCCAAACTGGAATTAGGACAGCGTTTCTGATGCACTGGCTCTATTCTTACACATTGATCCGATTTTATGAACGGTCTGGTAGGCTTTCCGATCTGAAATTCAGATACGATGTGAATGCACCTTTAGTCTACCAAGCGGTGTGTCTGATTCAAATTCTAGCTGGATGTTTATGATTTTTATTTTTTTTTGCAATTAATTTAGAGATAAATATAGTATAATAAAGAGCTGCACTATGAAAATCACAGCTTGTGTTCCATTAATGTTGTTGGAACTAGCTTCTAAAATGCTTCCCATACATTATTGATGATTACTCTACTAGACTAATATGGCTAGTCACATTGTTTAGGATATTCTAATTTCATTTTGTCTATATTGATAAAATATTTGTCTATATATTGTATAGGTTGATGAAGGCTGGTGGAGAGGAGAGTGCCATGGAAAAACTGGCCTATTTCCTGCAAATTATGTAGAAATGAGGCAGTGATTTTTGATGTAGGAACACCTATGTAACCTGTTCATGGACTGTACTGCCCTCTATGCCAAACCATGATGATTCTATGAACTTTAACCCTATGAAGCATATTTGTAAAGATTTATGGATTTTTATTATATGATTACAAATGTTTTAAATGAGTACAAAGCTATTAAGTAAACATATTATTTTATTGAATTCTCAATCTTTTGCTTAATATTGCAAAGAAAAAAATACCTTAGCAAATTACAATTATAAATCACTTATTATATTTATATCCTGAATGTTATATGAATTTTGTGAGTTTTTGCATATATAAATATATATATATATATATATATATATATATATGTCTATATATGTGTGTATATATATGTAGAGTATACTACATACATATATACACACATGTGTGCATATATAAATGTGATAACCATATGTTCCTTTCATTAAAAATGTGATAAACACATGTAACATAAAAATCAATAAGCAGCATTTACCAATGGATGGCAGCAATTTGTGTTTATTATTAAAATTAAATTTACAGTTTTTAAACTTTATACTAAATTTAATTATAAATTTTGATCACCTTTTTTCAGAGACCCAGTATTATCATGTCATGTATATGTCCTTTGTGAAAGAAATTTGGGAAATATTTTTTTCCATAAGTAGTTTCCAAAAGGAATTGCATATACATGAAAATACCGTAAATCTTCTAATAGAAACCAAATACTCTGTTAATAACCCATGCTCTAATAGAAACCCACCTTAAAAGTTTATTTATAATAATCTTAATTGTGTAGTTTATTTTTATGAGTTGTCGATGCAAGAAGCATGACTGGTTTTTTATTTTTTCTAATACCTAATTATGCTTAATAATAGTGAACCAATATTCTATTAGTAACTCATGATCTAGTTGTAACCCACCCTCAAAAACAAAGGAATGGAGACCAAAGGTGTCTATTGGAATATTTACGGTATGTGCAGAGCCAGTAATAGACCTACTAATGTATTTCTCATTTGCATAACATTGATGATTACATTAGCATGCTTTGTATTACAATATATCTTGTAACTAAATGTGTCTTTAGAATTCCATTTTAATGAATGGTGAATGACCTCTATATTTATCATCATCTGTAGTTGAATAAAATAGAGTTGTATTTGTGTAGGCAAGTTAATTTGTAATTAATAGTTAAGATAGATTTACATCACTCACAAATATGTAATCATAATCTATTTTTGCAATGGTTTGATTATGAGAAAAAATCTTCCCTTGCTATTATTGTCCATGTTTATATTAAAAATGTATATAATATATATATTTTGGACATCACTAAATTTCTTCTTTACGCCTGTTAAGTAGGGAATCTGGCATTCTTTTATATAAGATAAGCAATTTTCTATCATTGAATTTTTTCTCAATAAATCTTAAGATTTGGAAAAAGCAATGCTATATTTGATATTCAGATTGTTTTTACCGTTCTGTTCTTGGAAAGAATAAATAATAAAGTGGAAAGTTATTCAGGGCTAATTCTCAGCGCTTTACATTATCATCTCAACCACTGGTGTAGGCTGGGGCCCCAAGGCCCCAATTAATTCACCAAGTGAGTTAATAAAAAACAATACTAAAAATGACCATGAAGTTTTCATTGAAATTGGGATTTATTTCCGCATTTTTTAACCTATCCAACAAAACAAAGCTATGACTCTGACATCTTTGGAACGATGCCTATAAATCAGTGGATGAAGTACCTTGCTTAATGATACAAGGAACTTGCACAGCAAAGGTTTCAAATCTCTGACCTCAAGTTTGGGAGTTCAATCCAAAAAAAAATGCACCAACCACTGCTAGATGTTGCAGAATGAAGCTATATCTTGGTAGTAAAGATGACTGCTGATCAATCCCAGGATCGAAGCTATACCGGTGGTGGGGGTGGAACCCCCCTGACATCAGATGCGCCACTAGGTCTTTGGATCAAAAATTTAAAATATAATATTTACCTATCCAAATAACATTATTTTGATTGCCAATTCCTAATATTGTGGTCTAAACACATTTTAGATCATACTAAGTCATGTAAATTCTCCCTGTGAACTCTGCAAGAAATTTTTTATTCCAGGCTGTCGACCAAAGCTTCATCAGCCCCTTGGTTCGCACCCATCCGTCGGACATTTCGAACCCCTTGTCGGCAAATTTTTGGCACCACCACTGGTCCACTCAACTATCAATTTTATTCACATCAAGAATAATAATACTGGAATTTATACTACACCTTTTGCCAAGGAATTATTGTTAAAGACCTGTTTGTGAAAATCTATAACAGTTTTATTGTTTACATTCTGTTTTTTGAGCTATAGTGCCAAAGCAGCTTTTTTTGTTGGTAACTACTTTTAACCAATCACATTCGTTGTTGGTTTCTTGATGGCTGACACGCCGGAAATGGTGATGACGTCAATTTGGCGATAGCCTTTTAATTTTTTGATTAGTTGAATGACCTTTGCAAACTTGAAAGGCGAGACCGAGACTAGACACAGCAGACGAGCTCGAGGCGTGGGGTTGAGAGCGTGCAGAGTGTGTGGAGCGCCTCGGTTATTTGCGAGGGATTTTCAAAATATTACAGGCCTACAAATAGATAGCTGTTTTTAATGATGGCGAAAGTCTTAAGAGACAAAATTGATGAATAGATCGATTAATACTGTAATATCACTTAAAAGTGGATCATCCTTTTTTGTCTAAATGTCGTAAACATCACATGGAAGGATTTCAACTTGGCTAGGCTAATCTGATTTGACCAACTGGAATTGCTGCCGTAGCGCGAATGAGAGAACAAGCAGGTGTTTTTGCCCACTCGTAATTTATGAACATTTCCGAGCAAGTCAGCAAAAGAAGGAAGGTGTGTAATTTATCTTTGTGCTTGGTCGGGGTTTCTAAAACCTACTTTAGCTTCTGTACGTTTGATTTTGTTGATGATATGCAGAGGAAGAATAGTCAACCAACCTGCTCAGTTGGGTTGGTTGGGGATTGGTGTGTGTGGGTAATATTTTAATGGATGGTGGCATCTACTGTGTAGGCCTAGGGCCTACTACTACACTGTATCTAATCAGGCCTATTATTTTTATTATTATTCACTGGTCAGGCTAGACCCAAGTTTGGCTCGCATCTCTTTTATAATAACCATTGCATTTTTTATAGTCATTGCTTTTTAGTTTTTTAAATGTTCTTATTGTTTTCGCTTTACGTTAGGGCACATAGAAAAAAATTATTAGAATACCTAGGCCTAGGCCCTATATCACTTTAAAAAAAAAAAAAATTAATGAAGGCGGGAGGTTTTTTATTTTTTATTTTTTTGGAGGAGGGGAGGGGTGGGATTATACCCGGGGTTTCCTGTGTGCATGAACAGAACGAACATGACATCGGTTTTTGAAGTGGCAGATGCATTTAAACAACTGCCCTGTGATTCAATGGCCTATCCAAAACTAGGCCTAAAAATCAGACATTACTCGAACATCTAAGGGAAGGGAACACCCTAATTATAGTTATATAGTAGGCATACTGTAGGCGCCTGGCTTTGATCTTTACCTCGAGCTAGCGCCTAAACTTTTTTTCTTGATGTCATGTTAGTTTTTGCCCAACAACAAATAATTCAACCAAACACACCCATCACAAGAAGACCGCACACTTGTAATGCATTATGTAACAAGTTATTTTTCTGTGGAACATGCCAGTCTTTATGGAAAACGGACCTTTCACTATCGAGCATCCATGAACTGGAACGAACTACCTAGTAACATAACTAGGGATTTCCAGAATTTAAATCAAAATACCTTTAAAAATGCTCTAAAATAATTAATCTCTCTATTTTGTAATTAAGTCCTTTTTGTTAAAATTTCCTCATATTTTCCTTTTAATTTTATCACTTTTGTATTTTTTTATGTTATAACTGGACCACAACGAAAACCAGTGCATTTGCATTGAGCGTGCCATCCAGTATAAAGAAAGTTCAATAAATAAATAAATAAATGCTGTGAATCAATGATCCGATCAGCCTAATGGGTGGGTCTCTTTAGGGGCGGACTGCGGTGTTGTCTTTTTTTTAATCGCAATTAGCGAGCCTTTTATTTTTAGCAACAGTAAACAACAAGTTTAAAGAATGGGCTTTGCATTTTCAACTTTACGATGATCCCAATGTCTGATCTAATCAATTGGAAGAGTTTGAAGTTGGCCGAATTCGGAGCTAATCCCTTTATATTTTGTGAGAATTTGTTTTTTGCGGAGTTGTTTTTATGCAGTTAAAATAAATGGTGTGACAAAAAAATAAATAAATTTTAAAAAAAATTATTTCCGCATCAATATTTCCAAAATTTGTGACGCGGGCGGGAGTGATATTCTAATAAATTTTTCTATTTGCCCTTAGTGTTTAGCAATTTAACATGGTTGACAGTTCAGATAAATAACCCTTGATGGAAAAATTGGTAGGCAATTGACTTGAATTTTGTACAGTGCCTACTTGGATTGTTAAAAAATGTGGCTTTCTGTAAAAAAAAAAAAAAAAGAAAGAAAAAAAAAAAAGAAAAAGAAAAAACTCACTTAATGCATTACAAGTGATGGGTGTGTTTGGTTGGATTGGTTGTTGTTGAGCTAAAAAAAATTTACAGTGTGATCAGTGTTAAAGTATAGGAAAGCGTAATGTTATGGTTTCGGAAACATTCGTCCATTAAACATGAGAAATAACTGGCAAGAAAAGTCACTACGATTGTTCAAAATAGTGTTTATTTACTTATTTCAGTGTTCAATGTGCTTTATGTTTTTGAATTTATGTGATCCGTAAACCTAGCCTAGAAATCGTAGCATGTCAAAATCGGAGTTCGCGGATCAAAGACTGATGCATACCTATGCAGGGCCTGGGCCTAGCCCCAGCATTTCTCAAAAAATCTCAATGATTGGGGCCAGTATATTTTGGAGCATTAGCAAACCATTATGGCAAAGCTTTCAATTTCCAACCAATTTGGTATAGTTACTAGCATTCCAGCCAACATTATTCAGCATCAAATGTATAGCACAAACACTCCGAAAAACTACGCGTCACATGTGCTGCATGTTTACAATTGATACCCACTATATACCCATAAACAAACCTATAGTGTTCCATTTTAATGTGTATACATTACAGTGTTAAATGCCATACTTAAGTGTAGCCATATTTCTGGGGATTTTGTAATTTTTCTTACTGGTTCTAGCTGGTATAAAAATTTAACAAATTGCAATAATTCATAGATAATTTTTTTATGTGATGTGAAGCAACAGAGCTTTTAATCCATTTTAATATCGTAATTTCTAAATTGTTAAAATGTTTTTTTATAAACTTCAATGATAAGACCAAGATTTGGTAAAGCCCCTGAACTTCTGACCATCCATTACAGATGAATTCTCAGGATTTATGTTTTCCATTTAGCTACAGACGATTCCTGTTTAGTATTATGCCAAGGTTACCATATTTGGATAAAAAAAAATAATTTAATTATTTCTACTTTCAAGAAATGGAATGTGTGGAATCGAGTGAAAATTTTGAAGACATGATGAGCAGAGAAGAAACCACCAATCCTGTGATTAAGATTTCTCCATGTAGTCTTTTAACAAAAGCAAGTGAAACTTTTGAAGGATCTGGTGATTCTTCACTTGAATTACAAGAGGAGAATTCAAGCGCAGAGAAAAATATTGGAGTTCGCAAGTACCGCCCAAGACGTTTTCCCAGTGGATCGGACAATTCAAGTGAATGTGATTATAAATCACATTCCTTCATTAACATGGAAGCGGTGAGTTTCCTTAGGACTCCAGAAGGAGCACATGGACATGTGGATAGATTTGTTACGGAAGAAAATTTGTTGGATAGTTTATTTCACAGTTGTGATGTGAGAAAGTCTGGAAAGGTGCGGCCATCTGATTTAATAGATTGCGTTCATTCGATTATAATTCCAAGACATCAAAATAATGAAGTAAGTGTATGGTGGAATTATTGATAGTCTATTTGTACTGTAGTGTTTTAGTTCAGGTTATTTCTCAAGTAAATGATTATTATTTTTAAATTGAAAATAAATTTCTTTGTATAATGAATTTTCTATCCCTCATTTCAACCATTGTATTCCAACTTTGTTAATTTGAAACAGTGAAGTAAAAAAGATTTATCACAACTATGATTTATTTTAAATGCTCATGATCCATGGTGGGGCATTGTTCATGAACCGATTTATCATCTATGTATTAGGAATTTTTTTAGGGAGATTATTTAGACAATATGAATTATCCAAGACTGAACTATACTACAGTATATTACTATAACTTTCTTGGATGCTGTAAATGATTTATATGAATATGTGAAGCAAAGTGACATTTGATGCAGTACTGTGTTATGGAAACTAAATAAATGATGAGAAAAATACCAGCTGGTTATATTCACCAAGGGTACCTATTTACTTATTGAGTAATTGATATGCACAAAGTATCATTATCTTTTCAACTAAACAATAGTATGGCTGGTATCAGGCTAATAAATTCCAATGGTGAATTAGATGAGAGTATGAATTGTCTCACTAGTCCTACAGTATTCCCTAATTAATTATATGCTTCATCTTATTTTTTAGGTGAATAATACAAGTGTATTATTTTCAATCATAGATTAATGAATAAAAAACACTATACATATGAATGTTTTCTTCTTAACTGAATTATATGTGATTTTTTTTAATCATCTTCAGTGTTCTTATATAGGAAACTTTTTTTACTCCATTTGGGCACCTTTCATTCCCGGAAAATCCGGCTTCGGGACAACACTGTTTACTATATTTTTATATGTACCTTTTTAACTTCCTATACACATGTATGTGATTCAGCATGTATTTGATTCAGCTTAGGTTGTATACTTTTTTGTTAGAATAAATTACTAATAAATAAAACAGTGACAAAACATACAATTAAAATACACCCCTACTAATATTTGTTATTATATTTACTGTAAATGATGGAACTGTCACTGCCATAAAGGGTTTAGAAGGTCTGCATCATGTTGTCAATGTATATTAAAGACAGGAACTTGAATTATGCCCCAAGTGTTAGGATGTCGGGGAGTTAAGTCAAAGTGATCAACTTTACTCGCAGTTAAAGTCGTCCCTAGGGTTCTACCTGTTTATTAGTATAGGATTGTGTTGATTTGTTGTTGGATCATTTTTCTGTCATAATGATATTCTCATCAAATTTGAAGACAAAGTTTGCAGAAGATCTGGCTTGTTTGCTTGATCCCAGAGGCAAAGATGAAGAGGTTGATATGAAGACATTCACATGCGGTGTTTCTCAATGGATCACTAAGTGTCAACTTGAGTAAGTTAACTACCTTATGTTTTTGGCAGAATTTGATAAAATAAGGTATCTGAAGTTTATTCTCTTTTTTGTTAGTCTGAGAATACATGGCTTTAATTTAATAAATTTTGTTGAGTTAGTTGTGATACAAAAACTTTATTAAATTAAAATAATTTTATTTATGCTCAAGTACAGAATGTTATCTACACTGTGTATCTATATTTCAATCACTCAAATTGTGTTTATATTAAAAATGGATTACATTAAAATTGACAATACAGTACCTTGATCTTTACTTTTAAAAAAACTTATATTTTTCTTACAATAAATAAGTTTAAATTGAATTCCTACATTTTTTAAAATCATATGTATATATATTTATTTGAATTTGTAATTGGTCTGGTCTCTGTAAATTGAATCCCTAATTCAGCCAATGACTGCCAGGGATTCAATATTGTATTGCTCTTGTTGTTTACCGTTTTCAATAAACAATAACGAAAATAATTATTGATCATTGATTTAAGATATAATTAACATGATCAATTATAATGTATTTTAGTTTTCCTAAAGGTTTTATTAGTATTTTATGAATTATTTCTACCTACAACCCTTTTATTATACTGTATTTGTAAAATCAGTTCAAAAGTTATTTCATTCAGATAAAGATTAAACATGGTTGATAAATTGTACATCTTTTTAAGCAAGCACAGTGCTTTCCTGTGGGTTTTATATAAAGTCTGTTTCATAAATTATATCCACCCACACCCTGTCATCTTTTATATTTCTTAAATATAACACCTGATATTTTGATGAAGAAGAGGCAATTGCCTTTACTGTAGCTATAAATAACATTTGATCATTATTGAAAATTGACTTGAGACAAAAGCAAGGAATTAGCATCAATGTAGCTATGGTACAAAATGTTGTATTGGTGGTACCTCTGAATGTGTAGCATGATAAGTTTTACTATTGTAGGATTTATTTAAGCTTTACATTTTATCACCAAATTTCCTGTCATATGAGCTGTACTTGAGTTATTGATTTCACTCCCCTGTAGGAATATGGACAACTCTGTGTTTCTAGACAAAGGTGTTTTAAACAGTTCACGTCTAGCTGCTGAAGATGATGTTGTTCCTCAGTGGTGTAGCAGTCAAAGGAAGCGTCATAAGTCTTTAGGTATTTTTCTGTCTATTTTTCATTCAGGTATCTAAATATAAACAATATCATTGCATACAGTAGCTCAGTGTTGTTTCTTATGTCAGAATATTTCTTGTTGAATTTGAAGAATCCACATTTAAATATGTATTTTGTTGCCTTATAAAACATCATGGTATTCTTACCAATTTACAGATTTGCCATTCTATTCTTACTTATACTATTTGTTGTATTGTTGGCACGGTATGTCAGTGCTATTAATTTATCCTTAGAAAGTTATTGAAGCTTAACCAATGATGATATTATATTGGTTTTGATTTTACATTTTCAATTCTGTTTGCTTTTAAACTGCCATTTAATTTGTATGCATTAATTAAGTTCATTTTCTTAGATTTATAATAATGTTAATATTGTGCTATGATGGCATTCGTCTCTTATTTGCCAAATTATTCTAGGTCTTGATGTTTCCATGTTCAGCTTTGGCAGTTTAGAAGGCAACGGTGGAGACATGTCATTGCTAGATGCGTGAGTAAATTTTATATTATTCAGTATTAATAAGATTATTTATTTTTAAGTTGCAAAATGAGTAGTATTTGTATAGGCAAAGTCAAAAGTGATTGTAAAGCCCCTTAAGGCCAAATCAGACAGCGTTGTACGACGCATCCCGATGCGATTTATTGTCGGGAGCAGTCTTCCGTTCATCGTTAGAATATTTAACTTGTTTAATATTCTACGATGCAACTATCACTGATGTAGACATATCGCATCAGCGTTTAACTCACGCAGACTCGATGCGACAACAAAATGCATTTGGCTTCATCATACTATCTGAGTTAGCCTTACAAGTTACCCAAAAATGTGGCTTATAGTTATTTCCACTATGGATAGATTCTTGTGAAATGGGATATATGCCAATATTATATTAATATGACCTCATCATGCCCATATATGAGCACATCACACAAATTTTTCACATAAAATGTGATAGTGTGTAGGTCCACCTACTGAGCTTAACATTCTTCATGGTCAGATGATCAAAGCATGTGTGCACGAATATACAATAAAGAACATGATAGTATTTTTGGTATGGAGAAATACCAAAGATACTACTAGTGGTAAAGAAATATGATAATAAAAAAAGTATTGTCCCTGTTAGAATTTGAACTTAAGACCACCCGATTACCATCTGGATACTCTACTGAGCTATGAAGTCAAGAGATATACCCTTGGGAATCCCATTAAGACACTTTTTTTTTTCACGGTATTATATAATATGTGGCTGTGACAAGCCAAACCAGTCGCTTGTCGCAAATCGTGTTTCAGAGAAAATGGCCAAAACATGCTAGAATGTCAAATTTTTAGAAATCTATTTTATTGCACTAAACTAACCTTTATATTTATATGTTATGCTATGCTGTTATTTTCCAATTTTTCAATGTTAAAACAACACTTTTTAAGGCTTTGATGATAATTTGTGCATGAGAAATGCCCGAAATGAACTTTGAAGGCAGATTTCTGATATTGTCCATTAAACAGCTGTATGTTTAAATGCTTGGAACTTATAAGGAAATGTTGGATTAAATGATTTTGTTACCATTTTAAAGCTCTTACTTTTACTCTTTAACATTGTATTAATAACGCCAGATCGATATTTGCGACAAGTGTCTTGGTTTGGCTTGTCTTTGCAATGAATATTAATAAAGCGCTGATAACATTGATGCAATTTTGAATATGAACAATACCACTACTCGGAAAGATTTAACTGAGTCATGCTCTGTTCATTGGAGAGGGAGGGAAACAGCTTTCCTGGCTATAATTCACTCGGTTAAGCTTACCACAAAGAAAATGTTCACTATATAATAAAAATATTTACAATTCAAATGTTATAATTCATGTGTTTGACCGGCACATGGTAATTAGTATTTAGCTGATCTTAGAAGATGAGTTGTTTTTTCAAGAAGCCAGAAATATTCTTGCATAAGCAGGGATTGAACCTAGAACTTTGGTATCAGTAGACAGTCACCTAATCCTCCATACTGCACTAAATTGCTGGCAAAATTTAGTCCCAAACTATTTCAGGTCCTCTTCATTTTTCTTAAGAAGCTATATCGTGCATTTTCTAATACTTTGATCTTAGTTTCAACCCCCACAAGCTTTAGAAGGATGTGCCTACATTTCTCAGATTTCAAGAACTGATAAACAGACTACTTATTTATTTTACATTTACAGGCAATTTGCCAGTATTTATTACTTTACAAAAAACTATAGAGTAGTATGATTGTTTATATAGCTTTTAATTGTCAAATTGGCTTGGTAAATGAAACATAAAAATTCACACATTCCACTTTATGGATTTCTCTGTACAGTATAGCACTTTGGATAAACATTAATATTTATATTGCTGTTATATGTATTATAAGTATTTTAATGAGATTATATAAACCTTTGTATATGATTAAGATAATAAAAAAATTGATCTTAAATGAGTTTAAACATAATTTGCTATATGAGGCTGAGGAGCATATAGTATAATTTGTAACTATATTGTTCATTACCTACCACAAGGTCAAATGTTTTGTCAATATTATAGAAATAACACCAATTTTTATGGCGGTCTTGGCATTCATCTGGATGCCAAATGAAACTATGAAATTGAATGAAAATAATAAAATATTTTGTCTTATAGCATGAAAGTACACACAATCCAGTACTGTAGTTTTAGCTTGTAAATAGAAATATAAAATAATAGAATAACATTGTATCATTTTTAAAATTCTGAGTTATTACAATGATTGTTAGTAATGTGAGAAATCATTTTGTGAGAAATTGGGTGCTTAATAATTTTTTAATAATACAAATCTTTTATTTAAAATAAGGGTTACTGCACTAATTTTAAGAACCATCATGCTTAGTACAAAAATTCTTCTTTAGTGCAGCACTTATTACAGAAATTCAAGAGTTGTAGGAATTCTAATTCAAATGAAACCAATAATTAGATTATTCATGAAATTGACATTTCAATAGAAGGACCTCAGTGTAATAATTGATGTCTTTTGCTCAGGGTTTACTCATGGTGGCCCAGAGCCTTGAGTCAGTGCAGCTGCCATTGTCCAATGGCACAAATATGGGGGTGGGGAGAGGGGGTGCCGCTTAAGGGCATCAGAATCACAGCCCAAATTTGAAGTTGAAATCTTAAGAACCTAGCATACATTGAAAATCAGTAACTGTATATCAATCATTAGTTTTCAGTGCTACATATACCATTTAGCAGGCATATAGTTGTTAAATGTTTATTTTATTTGTGTCATTGATACAAAAGAAAGCATTAAAACAAGCATGAAAAATTGAAGTAGAATAAAAGAAAAAAAAACATTGATTCGTGTTGAGAGCCAAAGGTCACACTTTAGGACTGCTCACCTAAAAAAAAAAAAGAAGAAAAATCTGATGAAATGTCATAAAACAAATAGTGTTAATTTATCTGAACTCTTCCATTGTATTATTTCATTGGAATTAAACACAACACAAGGGCAACAGACATGCTTATTAATATAAAATCAATACAGTGTTGTCATGTATTAGTTAAGCACGTGGCTGAGCACAATTGCTCTACTGGTGATGCATTGCTAGTACGTTGTCAACATATGGCCTTAACCGTCACATGCTCAGATTTAATTATAACTTTCTCATTCTCACAAGTTTTCCTGACTGTAATTCTGACATCTGATTTGGGCCAAATAGAAGAAGATCTTTGCTGATCAATTGTTTGATTCAAGAATATCTTGCCTTTCACATTGTGAATGAATGGTGTAAGATGCATTTATGTTTAAATGCCTTTCACACTGCAAATATTACAAGATTTAAATGTGTATTCACACTGTTAAGAATTTCTTACCAAATTGCAAATGACGTAAGGTTTTTTGCTTAGCTGTCTCTTCACATTGCTAACATGCCAAGGATTTAATAGAAATAAAATAATAATAAATGACATTTATATAGTGCCAAACCAAAATTGATTTTCTCTAAGGCGCTGCACTCATAAGTCTGGATTTCTTATATCTACTTACATTGCAAATGCTGTAGGTTTGCATAGCTACCTGATCACTCTAAATGTAGGTTTCCAAAGCTGTCTATTTACATTATGTGTGTAGGTTTTTGCATGGCTGTTTGTTCACATTGCAATTATGCATTAACTGTTAACGCAAACGTTGTAGGTTTTCAGGTGCGTAACATCAGTGAGCTGTCGGGGCTTAGCCCTGAGCTTCCAATCAAAAGGAGCGCCAAGCTCCTCTTATAATACTACCCAGCACAGTGATAGTGTCTTGACCAATCTTTTTAGCCATGAAATTAGATAGGGAAGTTATCCACCCCTTGAAGTCTTGAGCAAAATACTTCCATGACACTCGAGGCCACCTGATGTTTCCTTCCCCGGCCCCATGGTTAGTTGTTATGCTACTGTATGTTTTGCATAAGTGTCTGTTCACATTGCAAATGCTGCAAGGTTTGCTATTAGTTGGATTTCACTTGTCATGGCTAAAATAGATAATGAGACAGTTTCAAAGAAGAACAAGCTACTAATGGAGTTAAATGCAGAGTAAGTAATTCGGTAAAATATCATTGTTGTAACAGGTGTAATTTATGAATGTATCTAAATAGAATTGTTTGACCTTTTTATCTTATCATCAACTTTAGGCTATGCTTGGCCAACCTTACATGTGAAAAAGCGTTGTTTAAAATATGATTTTTTCCATTATTATTTTAAACTAATCTATAGGAAAAGGTTCCTTCCAGCAATATAAATACTTCTCACCCATATTCATACACCCTTAAAATATATATTGTATATTGTGTATTTAGCTGTTGTAAATTTTTGCATTTTTTTGCTTCTTTTTTTTTTTTTTTTGGAGTGAAGTAGTGAAGATAGTGTTATGACTAATTGTTTATTAGTCAATTATAAGTTATTCTCATCACGTGTTGTAATAGTATTACACTAAAATATTATTAATGAAAAGGATTAAAAACTATTTTACTGATATTAATTATTTGCTTTGCATTATATCATTTATTATTATTAAATAAACGTAATCTCATTAAGTGTAGTAATAGTATTACACTAAAATATTATTGAAAAGGATTAACAACTATTTTACTGATATTAATTATTTGCTTTGCATTATATCATTTATTATTATTAACCATAATGATAGACAGTTATAAAAACTTATACTACAAATAATAATAATGATATTATGTAGATAATTATGATTATTAATAACTTAGGTTTTAACATCTCTTATGTGTATTTAAACTGTGATTCTCTTTCCAACAGAGAATCAACCGATCTTCAAAGCAAGGTGGAAGATTTGAATTTTCAAATCCGAAAGTTGACAGAACAGAACAGCAAGTTGAAAAGTCAACTAGAGGTTACTGAAGAAAGCAATTCACAATTAGTACTTGATTTAGAGACTCTCAAACAACAAATCAAAGGGTTAGAACTTTTTTTTCATAATTTTAATTCAAGTCCAATATAACGTTCAATTGCATGAAAATATTAGCTATGTGCACACACAGGTTACAATTGAGGGACAATTCATGACTGAATGAATAAACAAAAGAAGTAAACTTTAAAATGACAGTTTCCAAAATTATATATAGCTAAGCCTTTACATCGATTATTCTTTAGATTTTGTTTTCTTTGTTGTTTATCTTCTTTTCTATTTTAATTAGTTTTTTTTTTTAAACTACAGCACAGGAAAAATAGTCTATAAGAACTGAAAGTGCCTACAGTATAAAGATAATATAAATATTGAAACTGTCCACATGCACTATTATTAAATTATGTTCACAATATTTATATATTCATGTCTTATGTTGTTGTACACATTTTTTTTTGTTTAGGTTTGTTATTCTCAATCTTATTTCAATAAATTAAAAATAAAAATTCAATAAAACCATATTGTAAGTAGTTAAATTGTAAATGAGAATAATTTATATATATTTTGATTTCATTATAATAGATCGCAAGTTATATCTCAAAGGAGTCAATGCGTACGTCAAGAAAACCAAGAACTTAAAACAACTCTGACAAATACAGAAGATGCTAAGAAAGAAATACAAAGAAAATATGAACATCTGGTAATTCATACACCCACTGTAATTCTTCATAAATTCTAAATGACATCCATTTAACCATTACATTGCAATTATGAAGCCAATATATATGTACATTTTTTAAGCATTTTGATGGCTTGGGGAAATTAGCTTCTATATTCATAAATCACCTTATGATGTAAGGCAAATTAGCTTGTTAATATTGCATTGGCATTATGAATATCATGCTGGTTTGGTTACATTCCAACACATTGATTATTTCTAGGTAAATAACAGATCTTGTTCATTAAATTTCCTCACTCTGTTACTTGGGGGTTGGAAGTGGAGGTATTGTTTGGTGCTCAAGTGCCTTGCCTTCAAACTCCAGTGTTCTGGGTTCAATCGTGGAAAAAATGATTTATTTCTCACAACCGAAAACAATTTATTGATATATAATCAAACATTACACAGAACAAAACACAAATTATTACATTAAGTTGATAAACATGCTGTGTAAAACAGAAAATGGGGAGATAAATTCTGATAGTGAATGAGAACCTCTACTTTTTATTCAATAGGAAAATGAGAAAGTCGTATTAGAAACAAGAGTTACAAACTTGGAGGATGAGGTGAGGCAATTTACAATTAGATTCGTTATGATAATTTCATGCATTGTTACGACTTGTCAACATAAGCCATGATTGCTTTATAATATAGATACACCTTTATCGTCATCAGCTGTTGGGACAGTCCCACACAATTTTTCTAATGGGTCCACATTTTAAAAAATGGGTCCAAATTATGCAGTTTTATGCATAAAATGAGTCCACTTTTGAAAAATGTGTCCGGAATTCTAATATTTAGCTTAAATGGTTAAAATTTTAAATAAATGGGTCCACATTTTCATATTTGTTTAAGGTTGCTTTCTTGTTTCGTTTTTTTTTTTGCAGTTGTTACAAACACAACATGAGTTAGAATGCCTTCAACAAGAAAAAACTTATGCAGATGATGCTCTTAGAGATTTTAAGGTAAATTTTCTAATTGAGATTTTGCTATTAAATTTGTAATATTTGTGGCGCTAAATAAAGTTAAAGTATATTTTATTTTTTAATTTTTTAATTACAGTATAATTATTTATTTATTTTATTAGAGGATACAGAACAAAGGAAACACCTATGACGAGGCTCGGCAAAGAAACAACAGATACATATTCAATAAGGAGCTTTCGATTTGTGCGACGACACAACGCTAGAACGGAATCACTCATGCGTGACCGTCCTACCTTGCGTCCTACGTTCTCTGCATACGTAGATTTGGCCAAATTGCGTTCCAGAATTTACTCGACGAGGTGACCTTAACGTTCTCGCATGCGCAGATGACTTTTAGTGATGTCATTACGTTCTACAATCGAAAGCTCCCTATTACCATGTGACATGCCTAATATGGTCATGATGACATCACAAAATGACCATATATAGGCACATCATGACTATATATGGGCATAAACAGTTTTTATTTGAAAGTCTGATAGTCTGCATAGGTACTTAACAAAGACTGAATTGTTTTGATCTGTTTTTATTGGAACTTTAGGGTTTTTTTTCAGATTTTAACACACAATGTGTCTTTATAAAATGGTATGTCAGTTGTCCAATTTATCTCGTAACTCATCAATTAATTATTTTGTATAAACAAGGTGTATTGTAAATGTTGTTTTTTATGGATTTTTTTTATGTGGTGTTTTGTAAATAGAACCCTTGTGGTTACAGCAGTAATTTGTCTCAGCTGTTGATTATCCATAATATTTTTATGGCAGCTGTGTTTTTGTCAAGTGTAATAACTAAAGGACATGAAGCAACACTCACCCTGACAATCTTGCCCCCAACAACCCTTCCTCCATTATTGGTACTTTTAAAGACTCCTGAGTCTTGCATTCTGTTCTCTTGAGATCATGAGTAAAATTTGCGCCGCCTACTCCCAATCCGGCTTTTTTTTTGGAAGGCCTTTACTTTACATATATAGGGTTAGAACTGCCAACAGGAGGCAGAAGTGAACACACATTTCTCAGAGACCCTCACTCTCTGGGATTGCTTAAGCTTGTCAATTGTATAGACAGTGTTCTCCTTTTACATATAAATGATCAATAATTATACCAAGGAATATTGCTAATAATTGTACCAGGCAAATGAATAGATATTTAATCATAGTATTTATCTTGTCCTAAATGATTGATCATTTCCGTAGAATATAATTAATTAGGTAAGTAATGTTTAGGTTAATATTGGTTTGCAATTTTCACTGCTTTCAATTCTATTTATTTTGTTAAAGGGATCAATCAATAATAACAGTCCATTTACTTCTCGTTCATTAGGAAATTTTCAAGGCTGTTCAAGAACAGCTTGCAGCACAAGAGATGGAATCATCGGAGGTAAATTAGAAATAAACAGTCATTCTTATTGTCCTAGTTCAGTAATTTTGTAAACAAAATAATTAATATTAATTTTTTTCAGATAAAAGGTTCATAAATATCATACAAATTTGATGCCTACTTAATTTAGTAAGTAAACATGAAATACATGGAGGCAGCAAGTAGGATGACAATTCAGTAAAGTTTGCAGGTATAAGTTGCTTAACTAGTTGGTTCAACTGTATGATACCAATCGACTGGTTAAGCTATAGTAAAGATGTGATCTACAGAGTAATAAATTTGTCAGGACAGTGTTACTATTTTTTTTCTCTCAAATGCAAAAGTAAAATTTATGCCAATAATTGACCTGGTTATGATATTGAAATGCATCCTTACTAATAAAAAATCTCAGTTAAAAAATACAGACTTTGGGACATTAATTTCCTGTCAGACATGTTAATGTTTTCGTTGTTTCAAATTCATCTTTCTAAGGCACTGGTGAAAATCTAAATATCTAAAATTGTAAGTTGAAAGTCCCAAAAACATAGTAGGTCCCAATTAATGCCAAAAAAAAAAAAAAAAAAAAAAAAATTGGAAATCATATTTTAAAAATGCTGCTGATACTGATGTAATATTACGAAAAGCAAAATGTGTTTTTCTGTGAAGGCTTATAAAACATTTGTGCAATAAATATTGAAGTTAGGTTGGTACCAACAAATTATTTATACTAATACATAAATAATGATAATAATATGATATTACATAATAATGTCACAATGAATAATAAAACATACACATTGTTTTCAGATTTTCATATTGTTCTCCTTCAGCACAGTCTTAATATTCAGATTTCATTGACAATTTCCAATAACTATTCTTAATATTCATTTGGCGTACAGCATGTTGGCATATTCAAGCCTCCAGGGTTTATGTTTAATACAAATATTTATCTTGTTATGGACACTGAATATTTTCTATATCTATGTAATGACACTCAATTTTTTTTTATAATAGAGAGTTCAGAAATGTGAAGAATTGAAGAAACATCTAGATGAGGAACAAAAGGAGAAGGAAGTATGTGTCTTTCAATTTTCACTTCGTTCCTTATATTGCATTTACTTGTGTCTTAGGGTACTGAAGGTGTTGAGCTGTAGCTAAGTAGACCACACTAACAAAACATTTGTTCAAATGAATAATTATGATACTATAAATCTCCTCATTTTACATAATTTCATTTATCAGGGACTTCCATGATCATTTAGTTTTTGCGGTCATGTATCTAATGCATTAAAATAAATAAATTCAATCCCTAACTTAAGTTCACATGAAGTAAACAACAATTATTAAGAATATACTTTTCTTATGCCTATTATATTTTATATATTTGTTCAATAGGCTGATTCTCATTCAATTTGTTGAACATGCATTTCAATCATTAACTAGAAATGTTTTGTATTATCTGAATTTGGCACTGATCCAATAAGATGGTTTACGTGATAAATGCTCACTCACCAATTACAGGGTGTTAGGTTCAAATCCTTTAAAGGTCAAGATTTTATCTTACCACTACTAAGCAACTCACCCAATACGCTACATGATGGTAATTAGTTTATAGAGTAGCTGTATTCTGTAATTACCTCCTTCAAGGAGGTTATATATTCATTGTAGTTCGTCTCTGTTAGCAGGATTATGCAAAAACTGGATCATTATAAAATTTAGTGGAGGGGTACATATTGATCTATGGAATCGATGATTACTTTTTGGGTTGAAAAGGTCAAAGGACAAAGTCAATGGTTGCACAAATTAAAACAGTTTCCATAAAAATTATGAGCATTAAAGAAAATAATGGAATCACCCGTCTAACGCCCTGCATGTGTTATGTGTTATTCAGGCACTAGATCTGCTCTAGATTTTTGGTGAAGCAATCCATTTTTAATTATGTACTGTTATCAGTATAAGCATATTTGTTCAAATATTGTAGGTTTTATCGACATTTTTGAGAATATTATCAGTATTTTAAAATAATAATTTGATATAATAGCAATCATAAATGAGTTTTCTACAACACCTGTTAATATTAATGTGATTTGATTGGTTGAAGCTGCCTAGAATTCAGTGGAAAAAATGTAGATTGCAAGGCAGATGTCAATTTTGGTTTTATTTGTTGATTTTGTTGTGCAATTTTAGTTGATGAACTGTTGTGTATGAGCACAGACAATACAGGTAGGGAGAAATTATGTAAACATACTTTATGAAACATTGCATTTATTAGACATTCTAAAAATTATTTAATGATTTTTAGATACTATTTAAGGAAAATCATTGATTTTTTTTACTTATTTTTAAAAATATTAATATTATCTATAGATTATAGTTTAGATTATAATTTTTAAAATAATTCTATAAGAACATGTATCATTTGTTCCTCAGTTCTTCATGGATATAGTCAGTAATGTTTGTGCAGTGTCAAAATTTCCTAGTAAATTGGCCTAGATTTGATGACAGTCTACTAGGCAGGGAAATTGATTTTATTTTACCATAACCTGTTGTTTGAATAGATGTAAAGACCTGTCAGGGACTATTAGGACTCTTCTGATGGTGTTAGTGAGATATTGTTTCTGCTGATATATTGCCAGATAGGTTAATGAAATCATAATAATAATTATGATGAAGTAATAGTTGATGGTATTTCAATTTTTAAATAATTTTGTATATAAGTGAAATAGATTTCTAATATATATTGTTTAAGCATACGGATTTGATCTACTGAAAAGAAAGTCTAAAAATAAACGTTTGACCTTTATCACAATCAATACAGTTATTGATATTCTATAAATTCCTTTTCTGTCAATGATGTAAATATTCCTAGTAAAACAATAAAAAATTGATCTGTTGTATACATTGGAATGTCTAAATCTCTGTAGTCTAGTAAACATAAACGAATATACTGTAGGCCCACTACACTGTAGCTAGTAGAAAAAATAACACTGACAGTATATTATATATGGATATTGCCAATAGTTCCTTGATGAAGTGGTTTTGCGGATTTGAAAATCATTTGGACAATTTTTCTGTTTTCTCCCATATTACAGTAGTATCTTGTTAAACATAATTTTTGCATTGCGTAAAATCAATAATCATATTGAACAGATCTTTTTAGTCACAATGGCTATTACTTTGATATTGCTATTATTCCATAATTAGTATTAACATGTTTTAAAAGGAGTTTGAACCAATTACAATGCTCGACTAAGTATAACATAGATATTTTTATAGCTGCTTTGACGCAAATTAAGCTGCTAACCTTAATACCGAGAATGTCACATGTCCCATCTACTGGCAGGTGACCCCTTAAGTAAAATGAGATTAATTTGTGTTTTAAGGCACAAAGATGGAATGCGCATATAAACAGTGTTTACTATACAATTTGTGAATATCATAATATTATTAAAACTGAAGCTTTTACTTTCACTAGTCTATAAAGTAAGGGCATACACTATATGCATTCCATTTATTATTATGGCAGCAATACAGAAAGCGACTATACATTTATATGACAATGCTTGTTTAGAATTAAAATTTTTACAAAGATGAAGAAATGTAATATGAAGTGTTATATATATATATATACACACACACACACACACACACACACATACACACACATATACAGCTCTGGGCCGTGTGGCAGTGCAGTGCAGCTGCTGTTGCCTCAGTAGTTCTTAGAAAGGTCATCTAGGGGCCCCAGTGGTGGTCAAGTGACATAGCCCCTTGTCTTGTATGTTTCCGCTACCTGTACAAAGCTATAGACATTGAATTAAATATTATAGACATTATAATCTAGTATTTCTATCATTTCATTCAGAAACTAAAGACGGAGAAAACTCAACTGGAAAACCAGATTCGGGAGACAAGGCAAGAACTAATGGTCTTTCAATCCCAAGAACAGGTCATGGACGTAGAATTTAGTAGCGGTGGCAACCTCTTGGCCCCCATCAATACCAGCACACCACAAAAGGCAATCATCCCTGGTCATAGGAGTCTGCACTCTGAGCTTAAATGTTTGGTAAGTTGGCCTAGTACAATGCTATTTTTAGTTGATATCCTTGTAAATTTTTGCATATTGTTGGTGATGTGATGCAGTGGTAATCCGAGCAGATGTTCTAAATTGGTTACCATAGTGACATTATTGAATTTATTCTCAATGCGATAAGAATGTATTTCTTGTATTTTTAATATCTTTTGTTTGGGGATGATCTTTTACAAACATAATAAAAGCAAATTCAAAAACATGGAAATTAATTGATGAGTTGCAGTTGCATTAAACTACCATAATCTATATAAAGTTAAAGAAAATTTCTCTTACGTTTGCCTCATAATGACTATAAAATGGGACATACTAATGTAGCTGGAGTGGAGTTAAATAGCTAAAGCATGATTTCTATAGAATCACTACACAGTCGCTACAGCATTTTCTCTGCAATCGTTGAACTGCATAGCTGTCCCCGATGCAATCAAGAACGTTACCTGATTCAACTGACCAGTCGGCGTCGCCAAAGGAGTCAGCGATAGCGTGTAGCGATTTTTATATGATTGCTTTCTAATCCCAGTCTCTTGGGTTCAGGTCCTATGACAACAGGACTTTTTGTCATGACTAAAGTCTACTCCACTCCCTAAGCCTCATAAAGATACTTGTTTATAAAGCATCGTCCGTCCAGTAATTGACGAGTTACTTGCAATTGGAAGTGACTTTTAAAATGAACTACTAAAACTACAATTGCAAACAGTTAATTCTAAGTAATAAACACAAACTTGGCACCCAAATCAAATCAAACAAAAATTATTGTATAATGTTGAATTTTATTGCAAATATTCCATATGCAGTAAAAAAGCCCAAGGACTAAAACCACTGTATTTGCATACAAAATACCGATTGCAAGTTAAAAATAAAAAATTTTAGAACGAAATATGCATAATAAGGGTTAATAAAAAATGTAAAAGTTAAAGGAGAATGGAATAAAATCATTTTGTACTACATTCATATTAAATTCTAGAGAAACTCTCTTTTTGGGTGAAATGTCCAGACCACAAGCCTGTTTTTTGTATATACCTTGATTCCTGTTAGAACCGTTGAGGTCATGCTAGTAATTAACTTGTATTATATCATTACAACGCGAGGATTTTGATGTCATATCTCTGATTCATATTGACGTAGGCCCTAATCCATGGTCACTTTTCGGTTCAAGGTGATAATTTTCATAATTAAATTTCAAACAATTAAATGCACTAGGATGTTAGATCAAGCTGTAAATCTTAATAGCTTAAATGTACTTGTGCTAAATTCACTATTATTCTACTATATATTTGGTAGTTATCGGTAATATTTTTGAAATTTAGCTTTATCAAATTTGAACAATATTCATAATCATAAAAAAACAACAATGCAGCGTGTGTAGACTACATGTTAGTTGCCATTAGGACCTCTTTTGTAATTTTGATGCCATAATAATTGTAATATACTAAAGGAAACAATAAAATATATATTTTGTTAAATTACATTTTATTGATGAACCTGTTCCTGTTGGGAGGTACAAAGTACTTGATTAATTTACTGAGTGTCCACCAGGGAAAACATGCCTTCCATATATATGGTTCGTCCCCTGTACCATCCTTCATGGTATTTTTATGCAGTCTGAAAATAGAGTTTATCGTCTGAGGCACCTTGTTTTCAGTATGGATTTAATAAAACCTAATTTCCTGCTTGAAAATTGTTGCATTTGCTTACCCTGCTTAGCTAGGAAAGAGAAAGACATGCAGAATTTCCAGGTCAGAATGTTTTAAAAAATTTCAAGATATGGAATAATTTTATTGATTATTAAATTAGAAATTACAGATAATATTGTTTGAAACAAGCATTCATATTGGTGAATGGATTAGAATTTCATTTTCACATTTTTGTAACAGGTGTACAAAAGGTTAGCCATAAACTAGGTCTCCTTATACAAGTATCATTATAAGGCAAACTTAACCTAAATTGCAGTTGTAGGGCATTGTAACAACTCCGTAACTTACCATCTATTTTAGCAGGGGCGTTGCACAGACACCTAGCATATATCTATAATAATCACCTCTGCTCTCTGCGGCACTCAGCGTCAACTTTTGGAATTGGCTGTGGGTAGTGGCGCAGACTGGAGACTAAGCTTATCACAGTACCAGATTATTGCCTTTCAAACTACTCAACAGATAATGTTTGTTCAGACTCATAAAAACACATTTTTATGGATTATAATTAAGTGATTTTGTTTTGTCTTCATGTTTCTTTTTTGTAAATTCTGTATGAATCCAGGGTCTTTAGAGATCAATCGGTCACATGGGTGCAATTTTCGTAATGAAAAAAATACATAAAATGATTATGGTACTATTTTATTCCAAATTTAATCTTCTGAGTATAATAATGCATCTTTTGTATGAGAAGTAAATCTAATAAAATTCAGATATAATTGACCGACAATACATTTAAAGAAGGAACCATTGTTTAGGGGCAACATCAGAAAATGTTCACTGTAAGTAATTCCAAATAATCAGATATAATGTTTTATAAAAGGAAAAAAATCAAATAATAATAATAATTCATATTGATTATTGATTTTACAATACAAGTTCTGTACAGAGTTTGAGTCGTAATTCTTAAACAAAATTGTAAATTTAAACAGATATCAACATTAAAAAACTTCTTTTTTTCCAGGTCAGCCAAGAAAGTAATCTACCTTCGCCACTTTGCGGAACTCCAGACCATGAACTAGAAGATGAAGAGCCTATGTTATTTGCTGCTGGTGATGAGAAGATTAACCTTGTAACATCAGAACTCAAGATTAAAAAGGATGCTATTAAGAAACAGATCCATCAGATACTGGCACAGAAAGCAATATCTTCTCAGCAGGTAATAGCAAATAAGGCTAATCAGGTGAGATATTGCTAATGGGTTATTAATATTATCCTAATTATAGAAAATTGACTCTATACATCTTGTGATTATCCTGAAGTGTGTTTAGATATTATAATGTCAATGGTAATTGTCACTTACATTTTATCTTTTTTAACATAATTATTAAAGTGCTTACAAATTAAAGAGTGGAGATATGTAGCATGATTTTCTGACAGTGCCAAGGACACTTAACAAAATAGCTTTGCTGTATAATAATAATAATATTATAAAAATAATGGATAATCAGGATTGGTATTTACAGTGCTTTATACAAACAAAATTTAAAGCATTTCCCATTATTAGCCTGGTCATTGGAAAAAAATATATAGGTTTAGAAGTTTCAATCTACGCTGCTTAATAGGAGTATGCCTAGTTTTGTATTAGTGTTCAACTAAGACTAAAATATTTTACATAGAATATTTAGAAAGTATTCATTTATATCTCTGGATGGAGAGAGACAAACATAAAGCTATTTGGTTAAGTTACCAAAGCATTGCTGTTTGTTTGGACTTGCAACAACAGGTGTCTAGCATGGTTAACAAGGTTAAGTTTTACTCAGCAGAAAATGACCATTGTGTGGGTAGAAGCATTCACTGCGCTTCAGTCAATCATTGTAGAGAACTCAGGATGTTTACATTTTTTAAGGCATACTATGAGTGAATGCTCAACCAAAAATTGAAAAGTACTTTATATACGGCAATAGTGATGATTTCCAAAAAGCATCAAGACTTAACCGATGCTAACTGGAGTACATGAAGACAGATCTCCGATTGGCGGTGACACTGTAAACCCAAACTTCGGTTTAGGTGCTACTTTGGTGTTTTGTGTGGATTTTTTCTTGCTTGTTTATTTATCCATTTTTTTGTTGTCTTTTTGCCTTTTTTTGAGCATATAGACCTTGTTTATTTGCACTAAATAAATCCATCTATTGGTATTATTATATTTAGGCAGTAGCTGCAATATGCCTTGTGTAACAGATGGGAAATATTATCCAATTTATATTGCTAATGTCATGTGAACTCATTTGTAGTTTTTGTTGTCCTTGTAGGTGGTGTCTGAAGATCTTCTTTACGCAGAGATAGACTCATTTACGGAAAACGTAACGTCATTTGCCAATGAGAAATCGGAATCGGAACAAAGGTGTGATTAATTGATTTCAATTCTAAGTTTTGCAAACGTCATTTTCATCCTGACATTGAACACAGTTGAATAATCTTTTCCAAAGTTACACAAAATACCATACCAAGATTGATTTGATTTTGACACAAATGTAGTTGATCAAAAAATGTTTTTTTCTTTTTCAGAATTATGAAGTTAAGACATATTATCAAGAAACTGAGAGGTACTTTGTTCTCAATTATGTTTTCAAATTATTTTTTTAACATAATGTTGACATATACACTTACACAAAATGACAGTTTACACACAAGCTAAATAGACGCTATTTGTACTGCAATACTCAGATGTGAGGCCCTGTGCAGTATATACTGTACTTACAGATACAGTTACAGATTTATTTATTTTTAGCACAATTTATAAACTCTCACTTTCAAACTATTGATTTATATTTTGATATACACACCCCGTCTAACTACCTATCTACCCATCCACAGAACTAACTACGCATGAGGTACCACCTACTACGTGTCTGTTTATGTGTCTGTGATAAACGTATATCATCCATGTCTTTCTGGCTTTATTAAAAATCTCACCTTTCTAATGTTTGTAGATGAAAATAGCAAGATGGTGAAGAAGCATGCTGAAGCGCTTATAATATTACAAAAACAGCCAGAATCACAGCCAGCTATTGAAAGCATGAGAGATGAAAATGAGAAATTAAAGTCCGCATTATCAGAAGCTAACCTACAGATCCAAAATCTAGATGAGAAGGCAAGACTTTTTTTTATTTAGGAAACTGGAAAGGGTGCTTAGCCTACAATACCATACTTGTTTGTTCATTCTCAGCAGATGAGAGAATGTTATTGAATTACATAATTATATCACTTTCCATTCCCTAAGCCCCATTTAAAAATATATCTTAGAAATAGAAGTTTTACAAAGCAGTAATGTACAATTTTATCATCAGCTCCTAGTAGATTTGACCCTATTAATATCTTAGTTGTTAATTATTAAATAAACTTGTTATTATTTGTTAAACTTATTTTAGTTTCAATAATATTTCCATTATAAAAATTGATTAAATATTAATATAGATTTTCACTTTAGTTGTGTTTTCAAAACAATTATACTCTTATGAACCGACCAATCAAAATATTTTGTGACAAAATCGTGTTGTAGCTCTTTTCTCAACTTACATGATGTTGATTTAAAATCAAGGTCGCAATATTTTTGCTTTTACTGCTACAAAGCATATGATGATTTCCTTGTGATATTTTTTGTTCATTATCAATACTTCAATCAATCAATTAACAGTACAGTGTAAAGCAAGGTAAATGATTTGAAGAAGGCATAGCCAAAATGAATAAACAAATAAATGAGTAAATAAAAAGCACTTTAAAAAGTAATAAAAAGTACAATAACTATTATTTCTGTTATCCCAAAGGATCCTAAACTTAATACATTTTGAAACAAAACTCTATTCATATGCAGTACTTACATTATTATTTTTATTGTGATTGTTTTTTTTTTTCTCCTGTGGTAATATTTATTTGGCAAAGTAAAAGTGAAATCTTGCCAGGAATAAAATAGACATGAGTACAACCAGAAAAAAAAACTACTCTTACTTTTTTATGACAGTGAATATGTAAGTTTATGGTATGTTTTCTTACAATAAAATGCAATACAAATCTATATTCTGGAAAGCTCTTTCAGTACAACAGAAGTATTAGTCTCCCAGGAGCTACTTAATTGGTAAAATATAATATAAAATATATAAGAAAATTATTGAGATTTTAAAAACAATTTAATTAAAAAAATAAATACACAACTTATAAATATATAGGGTTTTTGAAATTTACCTTCAATTATTGTTCTACGGATATTTACTGGAAGTTCATTCAAAAGCGTTGATGCTCGTTATTGCAAAGTTCTCATTCCTTTACATTTGCTCTATTTATTACAATAAAGACAGTACAGAACCCTCTGTATTTCAATCTTTTTTAGTGTAACTAAATTGTTATTGTAATTCAGGCCATGCCTGTTATTGTTTGCTGTAATACCTCTTAGTCTTAAATTAAATTGTTGTTTTTCTTTCTGTAAACAGTTTTTCTTGATTAACCTACATACTGCCCGCTTTCCCTACTATAGATTGATAAATGCAAAGCAGAGTTCGCCAACATGCAGGATGAAGCCCAGACAGTAGCCCACGCGCTACAGGAACAGTCAGAACACTGCCTACAGTTAGAAACTCAACTAGAGCAGCATAAAAAGTAAGAGTTTGTTTAAAAATATTAAATGGTATTTTTTAATTGTATCAATTATATTTTATTATTTTTGATTGATAGAATGAAATAAAAATTGTCCTAGGTTGTATTTCCAATGGAATATAATTAACAAAAAACATCCTATTTATGCCAATGAGTATTGTATATTTCACAAGCTGTGGTAGTGATTGTTGTAATTATTTAGTGTAGTTGATTTTTTTTGGAGGGTTAATAACTTTTAAGGTATGTTTATGATTATTACCAAAAACATCTTGTGCATTCTTTCCTCCGTATTATGTTAACATATTTGTTGCATTCCATGTATTGAGGAAAGGAAGTAAGTTAGAATTAACATTAATTGAATATAATTTCTGAATAAGCTCCTTTTTACACCTTTTAATGCAAGAGAGCAGTGAAAGCAGAATCCACCACTGTTATCCACAGGATATTCTGTTCCCAAAATTTAGCTCCACTCTTGAGTATTATACCTACAATATAATGAGAATTAAAGCTATGTATATTCCATTTGTGTTAATTATATTTGTTAGATATAGTGTTGCTATTTTTGGAATTAATTTTCACTTTGTCTTCTAGCACACTCAACAAACTGAAAGATGATTTGAAGACGAAGGAAGGTAAGAATATGTCTCTCCTACAATGGTAAAAATAAAATTTAAATATTTATTCATCTTTAAATTGGCTCCCAAATCACCATCTATGTGCTTTTGTCTGAAGGCATGACTACTTTATGAGTTAAAATAAATAGAGAATAATGTGTGTGTAAACATTTATGGATATGTGAACTATGAAAGTTCATATTTTTTCCTTGTTTTCTTTGAATAGAAATTATTGTTAAGTTGGAATTACAACTACATGAGGCAGAAGATGAATTGGAGGAGAGTAGAAAACAACTTTACACCTTGGAGGTGAGTTGCATGGACTTGCATTTGTAACTTTCTTATTTCTATTTGTTTTTTTTGTAACATCATACATTCTATACATCAATTTCAGGATGTAAATAAACATTTGAATTTGACAGAAATAATGCAAATACAATTAAAAATCCTAAACTTGTCATTTTGTGCAAGTCTCAACACCAGTACTGCAACTATAATGTCAAATTAATGCTGATGTATCTATATTTGGTCATGATGTGAAATTCAGGCATGTCACATGTTTTTGTCCAATACAATTTGGTAAATAATGTGAACTCTTCCCATTGACATTTCAGTTTAAAGTACTATTACATCGACTTGTTCTTGAGCCAATTTAATCAAAACAAGAAAACAAACTAGAGGAAACGATCACACTGTCAGAAATAATCTTCACCTAACACTTATCATCGATCTGGTGCTCATTCCTATAAATTACATTACCGCAACCCAGACTCGTTAATCTGTAGAACGGTTCCAAGTTCACCCTTAGGTGAATTTCTATTAATGCACTTGATTCAGATAAGTCTAGTTAGTAAACTGTTTTAGTAACAGGATTTTTGTTTTTGTAGAACTCGCTAACAGTTAGTATGTCTGAGCATCACACAGACTTGAAGGGAATTATGAGTTTGGTGTCTTGCAGCGACTGCTCCAGTAACGAAAGTCAGGTGAGTCTTATCAATCCCATGTGATTACATCATAATATTAGTGAGCCCATATTCATTTATATGTGTTGAAAACTTACAGATACAGATATTATTTATTGTCATAAAAATTCCTATTTGTGACAAAGATAAACCAAACCAGTCACTTGTCGCAAATTCTGTTTCAGAGATAATGGCCAAAACATGCTGTAATATCAACATTTTTGAAATTTATTTTGTTACATTAAACTAACCTTTATATATCTATACATTATAGTATTCTGTTATTTTCCCAATTTTCAATGTTGAAACAACAATTTTTAACGATTTGGGGATGGTTTCAGCCTGAGAAATGCAGCAAAATTATAAACTTTGAAGGCTGATTTCTCAAATATTGTTATTTAAACAGCTGTATATTTAAACTCCTGTAACTTCATAATGAAATGTCTTATTTAAATGATTTTTCCACATTTTTATAGCTCTGAGTTTAGTGTTTAACTCTGTATTATTTATTAATAACTAAAAATTGATTTTTGCAATTAGTGATTTGGCTTGTCTTTCCCACAATTTGTTAGAACGTATGGTCTACTTCACTGGCTGTTTACTAGAAAATATCCATCAATGAATTTAAATTAGTGAAATATAATAGTTTGAAATAGTAGTATACAGATATTGACAGCATGACTGGAATGTATTTGTGAGTTTTCTTGCATTTTCGATGTTAATATAGGTATTCATTTTTTTGGGGGTGGTATATAAGAAAATTTGTTAAATTTAAAACACTGCCCTCTGCAGGCGGAAAGTAATGGTTAATAGGTTCATCAGTGCCCGCATCTGATTTGTGAGTGTGGATAAGGGTCTTATTATTTCATCTCACTTTTATTTTAAGAAACATAATGTTGATATTTCTTGCAAAACTATTGTGAGGGTTGGTGAGGAAACTTTTGTACCTTCATAGTATTATTGTAGTTGCTATCATTATATAGAAAGAGGTTATAAAATGTTGCCTTTGTGGAAGAAACGTAAATGAAGAAGATTCAAACCTCTGCTTTCAACATTTATAGCTTCAAATGGCTTCTTCATTTAAATGCTAATAATCAATGTTGCCAAAAAAGACAATAACACAAAACATTTTTATGAATATATCTAAATAATTTAACTGAATATTTATAAACATACTTGTTTAATATCGACGGTTACTATTTTTGGAGCCAGAACATTATTTTGACTTTATTGTTAAAATAATAGATATTTGTTGTACATAACATAGAATCGTTCATAAATGTGATAAACGTTAAATAAAAATTCCTTAGTAAATAAAAATTTGAAGCTTGTGTAATTATCTTCTGAAATTTTGATTAAATAAATTACAAGCAATGTACAATGCTGAATGTATCCTCATATGCAAACTTTTTTGCATGGTTACCCAAATTGTTACATTGGACATTTTTGTGTTAGCTAAGCCATTTTTGTGCCGTGACATACTTTTAATAACAGGAAGTATTACCACCTACTATTGGAACTAAGATCATTGATTATTTGTTTAAGTAACACAATCTTAAGTATAATATGACCTTTTAAGTATTATATACGTAACAGCATGTGTAGTCAAATTCTGAATAAAGTTATTTATGTAACAACCACACTTCAGTAAGCCTTGCCATTGGACAATAGCTGCTTTGCAAGCTTTCATGCATTTCTCTAAAAAAAAAAAACTCCCAGCATTCATACTCTCTACAAAATAGGTTATTTATTATGTGTACAGTATTTGTGTAGTGCACCTATTAGAAGCGAAGAAAGACGTCCAAGGAATAAACATGGAGGTGGTCTTGTTAGAGAAAATGAGGTATGACAATAAACTTATGTAGACAAAATTGTAAGAGGCAAACAAAATAAATTAATAAACAACTTCGAATTCATTTTTTTGAAGTTTTTTTATCCAATTTTTTTTAGTGAAAACCATTGCAATTAAATACACTGATTTGTTTTATTATCTACTTTGGAAGTCAGTAAATAGTATTGCATCTTTAATTGCTTTCTTACTTTGCATATACTTTGTACAGTATTTCATTTGCAAATTAGAATCAGAAAACAGTGTTTCTCTTGCCAACTAACAGAAAAATAAATACAGTCCAAAACATTTTTGCCTAGACCCTTAAATTGGCTGGTAATTAATTTAAGGATTGTAATAGTAAATAAGTCACTGATAACTGCATTCCTATGATGTACTGTCTTCATTCAAAGTTGAAAGTGTATTTGTTCTTTTAAATTCAGAGAGCAATTTTCATTTCAGACAGCATGCAGAAAATAAATTATTCAAAATCAAAACAGTACTCTGCTTAATGTCTGATATACTGTTAATAACCATAATTATTCTAATAACAAATTTATTGTTATCTTACAATTATGCTAAAATGATGTTTTAAATTTTAAGGTCATTGACCCATTTGTTTCTTAAGTGTATACTGTATTAATTTAACCCCTGATGAATAAATGGTAGAGTCCGTGGAAAACTTCCTGATAGGGTTGAGGTGACACCATGCACATTCCATACATGTCTACTGCAGGGATAAACAGGAGAGGTTTCACCAACTTTTGGATTTATTGTATACCTTTACTGAGAATGAGATGATTTGCATTGCACCAGAGCATATATTTGTAATCTTTATTGTCATAATTCCTAGACTGTGAGTTAATCTGTGATATTTTTACTTGTTTATATTTATATCAAGAGATCAAGTTTATTTATTGAATGAATTAATAGCAATATTTTATTTAATTGTATTGCAGAGAGGTACTATATAATATGTAATATAGCTGTACTATCATTTTGTTGTACATTTTGATTTGATCATGACGTATTGCTTTATACTTTCTGATGTGATGAGGTAAGACCTTTGAACAACTACCTGCATGGTGGTTTAATATTTGCAGGACTGTCTATATTTCACTTTTTCGATGTCTATTTTAAAAGTAAAGAAATTATTATCTATATGTGAAATAGTTATGATTAATTTAAAAGCATATAAATTATAGTTATTTTTATTTTTTGTGGCTTTCATTGCTTGTGGTAAATAATTAATGAGTTCTTTAAGCACTGAAGATTCATAAGGTGCTAAATTATTAATTTTAAATTAATTTAACTTCAAAATTGCCAATCTGCTAATTTTACGGTTTCCCACATCCTATTTGTGCATACCCACACACTTCCAGCATGGTCTAGCCTGCAATATTAGGCACACTTGCTATGATAATAATGACCTAGGCATTCATGCTGGCTCACAGTATGAATTGGCAAAAAACAGACTGCCATACTGTACTATCTGAACCTGAATCCATTAGCCTAGCATACTAAAAACATAATGGCCTTACAGGTTGTCTTAATGTGATGATGTCACGTCTTTATGGAAATATATCGATATGATGCCCACCCAGTGATTACCTATGGTATCAGTATCAAATGTTTTTAGCTCCGATCAGAAGCTATAGAAACTCAGCTTGATTGATTAATCTGATTGATTAATAGATCTTTTTTGTATGGGCGGCCGTTAGGTCCAAAATACTTTACTGCCTCTATTATACTGCCATCATCGATTTCAAGATTACGAGATCTTGTTTTACAGATTTTATTTATTCAATTTCGGCAAAAAACAACAGTATACAAAGAAAAAAAAATGAACATTAAAAATATACAAATGCCAAGGATTATCAAAAGCGAACTGAATCACTGTTGAAGGCTTTCCTTTAACAGAAATATATATCAGAAGGTGCACTGACTATGTTCAAATAAAATAAAACAAAAGCGACTCCAAATAGAGAAAGTGAGGCCATGTTTACTCAACGTTTAAATATAATTAAAACTTTTTATTTAATTATGACTACACCCTTTACTACTGGACCAATCACATTTGCTGCTTATTATCATCTTATGACTCATTAATTGTATTTGCATATTGTAGCATTTTTGGTAATTACTCTAAACATTTTTTATTCCTGATGATGACTTAATAAAGTCGAAACGTTGAGTAAATATGGCCTCACTTTCTCTATTTGGAGTCACTTTTGTTTTATTTTATTAGAAATATATATATAATTTAAAATTAAAAATATAAAAACAAAGAACTACAATATCAGACATTAGGTAGTATGACATTGTGGTTCACCTTATACTTAAGTACTCTAAGTATCTTATTGGAGGCATTTATGTTGTATCTTGTCAAAAAAAAAACTTTTAAAGCCTGTAGACCTTGTCATAATTAACACAAAATAGATTGTTTTTGTGGATATCAGAAAAAAATAGTGTTTTATTTTATATCCATAACTATAAACAAAATCCATAATTCATAAGTGTGAAAAAAATGAAATATAGTTATTTCATTTTTTTGTAATTACTGGTGTATACTACTAGTTCATATGGAACATGGTGAATTAACGTATCTTTATGATTTGTAAACAAAAGGATTTGAATAATAACACCAAACCAGGAAGTGTCCTATTGTTAAAATATCTAGCACCCTTGATAATTGAATCTCAATCCAGTGCCCTTGATTTTAAGTAGACTTCTCAAATCATTGAGTACTGTTACTATTGCTGGTCATCTTTCTCCATGCTGCAGCTATCTTTGAGATTACTTGGAATGCTTTTAGTGCTAATTCTAATACTTTGTACGACTACAATGTCATTTGCGTTGTAGCAAATGTAGTTAATCGCAATGACAAGCATGATGAAAGCTCGCCAAAATTTCATGCTTTGTAAGGTACCATAGAGCATCTGATTGCAATAGGTTGCATCATATTCCACAGGTATTTATTAGAAAGTGCAATTTACCAGACCCAGTCATTGGTTTTGTATAATTATAGGATCTGTGGTTTTGTTTCCGAACATTTTAGCAGAATTCCCACTCAGTTTTACCTCTGTTTTTACATTTGTGTTTTAATACTGTATGCCCAAATTTTCCTCCTTGATTAATTTAGCAGACTCAAAAGTGATTTAATCTACTATAAAATGTGGTACCTTACGATATAGACAGTTTGCTGATAGGGGTTTTGACATGTCTTACGGGGGTCCAAACCAAGGGGCAGACTAAAACCTCAGTCTGAGTCCCGGAATTAGAAACTCTTGGTAGGGTTGACAGGGAGAGTTTTATGGGTTACGGTAACATGGCCCAAATTGTGCTTTTAGACCACAATATTAGGGATTGGCAATCAAAATAACATTATTTGGATAGATAGTAATTGTTATTGTCGTGATGGAATAATAGACAATAACTGGATTTGCGTCAGGAGAAACATGTATAGTTGTAATTTTTTTTCCACGTCAGGTAGGGCAAAAATTACACCTATACATTATTTGGATAGACAAATTATTATTTTTTAATTTTTGATCCGATGACCTCGTTGTGGCGACGGACGACAGGGCGGTCCAGGCCGGTCTTGTAGAGTATTAAAAATTGGAGCATAATACTGTACCTATTTCAAGTTACATTTGCTGCTTTGAATTACAGTAGATTGCATTCTGCTAGGCCTAAGTCATGACTTGCACTTCAATATCGGTATTCTCAACAAATTTATCTATTCCAATAATATTAACATCTTTTGTGAAAAGGAAAGCTTGATCACCTGTACAGCTGTTTCAAACAAAGCGATTCTGTTGAAGTTGAAAGAAGCATTGAAAACTTACATACTGTATACAAAAATGGGAGACCGGGGTCAGTTGTTACAAAATTTACATATTGTTCCTTAATTACGTAATTGAATGAGACAAACACACCTTTTTTATTCTAATGCAAGAACAGTATATTGGTTATAAAATGAAGCAATTACAACTGTCATATATCAATCCGTTAATTAATCATTAATTAAGTAATGAAGTAGATCAACTGTAACAAATTACCCCTGGTCCGGGGTATATTGTTACACCATGTGGGGCAAGTTGTTACATTGTACAAACTAGATAAAATGTTTAAAATATGCAAACAAACATGCTTTAAAGTGTATAAAAGAGACAACATCATTATTATTCTAGCCTTATGGTTAACTGTAAGACCGTACTATAATGTATTTTAGCTACTCAACAAAACAGTCAATCAGAAATGTCCATTTCTTCTTCTTTACAATGATCGCACATGTAAAGTGCCCCTCCTTTGGTGCACTCGCTATGTGACCATCCTTGTTACAATAACAACTTACCCGTAACAACTTACCCCACATGCTATTTTTATATTGAAACACAGATAGTTCTGCCTGTAGGCAGAAATGTGTGGTAATGGCCTATGAAAGTGTTAGGTAATGGCCATGCTTCACATAAATATATAAACTTTCTTTATCCATCTACATGAGGGAAAGCTATTACAGAAACGGTTTGTCATGAAAAATTTACTTTTGGGGTATAAAAACAAACATTTTACATACATTTCCTGTCAGGCATTCGGATCGTCACGCTACGGCCGGCGGTGATGGATCTTACAGCGCCCTATAATATGACACCGGTTATACCGCCCTCTACTTTTCCTATTTATTTATTTATTTATTCTGCCTTTAACGTGATAACACTTTCAGTGACGCAGCACTGATCTCACTAGTGGATCACATGAACAAAAAAGTAGAACAAAAACAAACATAACAAAAATACACAGCAACTAACTAAAATAAAAAAGAACCAATTCAAATGAATTAAAAAGAATAAAAAGAATTAAAAAGAAGGCAAGAGAACAGAGGGTGGTCAGAAAGATATAATTAGTTTTCTGTTTTGATCAAAGTTTTGAAATTTTTAAGTTGGAGATCATTTAATTCTATTTTAATTTTTTTTAAATTTTAGTTTGTGGGGAAAAGGCCACTGTAACAATCTACCCCTGTAACAACTGACCCCGGTCTCCCCTACAAGTAATGGAAAGTAATGAAAAACAACAAATCAAATAAAAAAAACACCTAAAATAATCAGTAAAAAGAGGGATCGTTCTTACTGCAAGAAACATCAATTTAAAGTCTAATATTTTGTTGAAGCCAACCCCTTGTATTATTGTTCTGTTTATTCCACAAATTGGCTCCCTGATACAAAAATGTCCTTTTTTTATTTTAGGTGTGTAGATTAGTTGAGGTATGTTATCAACATTGTCCCATCCTTCCAGACATTAGCAATTTACTTTTTAGGTTTAGAGTTACATGTGGTTGTGGTTGTGTCATGACGCAAAGTGTTATTACAGGTCTTCTGATGTAAACAACACAAGTGTGAAATGTTGGTGCAGTATGGGGTGTCAAGTGTGAATAGCCTAACTTCTTCTTAAACACTGGGCTGTATACATTGAGGATCAGAAACATTCTCTTTACAAATTCCTTTCATATATCATCATTGTCTTTGTCATTCTTCTCTCTTCATTGTTATTGTCTGCATCATTTCATTAGCATTATCCCCATCATTATCAACATTATTACCTTCATCATTATCAATAATGTAACCCGTAACCAAGGTACCTACCACCAATGTGACCATCACCAAACCCATTACCACCATGCCGTGACCATCACCAACGTACCAATTACCATTCTCATATCATTACAATTGTTTGTTAAATTCTTATTCACTTTTATTGTTTATTTTACTATGATCTTCCTTCTTATTAATGCTGATGCATTGTTTTTTCTTCTTAGCAAATTATTGAAAGTTATTAAATTATTTACTTAAGAGTAAAATAATTCCCTAAAATATAAGTTCCTATAAGTCAATCCTAGTTTATTTAACTGATATGAAAGTAAAATAATCAGATTTATCTATTCAAATTATGGTAAGAAAACAAACAGAAACATGTTAACTTCATAATGCGAATATTCTCAATATTAAATTGAAGTCTTAGAAATTAATCATCAGTATCAATGAAACTAATATTATTTGTTTGTTTCCTTCAGTGTCAGGTTCAGGTAATATAAATATGATGAAGGTCATTGAATCATTGTTTAAGTGTCAATGGCACCTGTCCATATACTTTAATACTGATCCCACAGTCTTGCTTTGAATGCTTAGTAAAATGTAAATATCCTGATCACTGATCATGTGATTGGCCATGGTGCTGAACTTTATTAGTGTTGGTATGTCAAGGTTGAGCATAATGTTACATTTCAACAGAGAGGGATTGTCTTAATTATCAGTAAATGCTTCCCGTTTCTTCAAATTATCTTCCAACAGGAAATGGTAATTATTGAAATATACACTAATGATTATTAATATTGTTATTAAAAGTAAAATACAATAGTATTGGGTTGTGAAGTTATCAGAATTGGTTTCTAAAAATATCCCCAAGGTTACAGGGAATATATGAAGTAAATGTAATGAAAATACATCCTTCACTATGCATAAAATCATGGACACCTCAAATCGGAGAAATATACAGTTGAAATTCATCTTCTAGAACATTTTGACATGAAAGTATAATACATACTCCAAGTATTGAAATACACGCCATCGTGTTGGGATTCAATATTTCGACATTATGTCATCATCAGGAATGAACATTTTGACATCCTCTTGTGATTTGAGCATACTTAGCTATCAGCTGAAAGTTAGAATATGTCTACTACTACTACTACTACTACTGTATGTCAACGGGTGGCACATGCCACTTTATAATACTAAGTACCCACTCCCACCATCTTCCATGCACCAAGTTACTAAATAATTGGTAGGCAATGCACAGATCTGTAGCATATGGTTTAACATGCCTAAGTAAAAATGGCTGTGCTACTGGGTGGGGAGGCAGTGGCGAACGTAGGGGTGAAGGCCCCAAAATACATTCGTACCCCCAGTCATCCCCGAAAAATCACGCAAGTAGATAAAAAAATTACCTCAAATCACAATATTTTGTGATCTAGCATCCGTTCACCTAATCATCGAGCCTCCCCACTTCACCTTTGCCCATTCTCTTCCCCCCCCCCTAATTTCAATACTCCTAGATATGCCACTGGTGGGGGTGGATGATGATGTGTCATTTTAGAGTCTAGCTTTGCCATCAGGAATGTTTTACATGCCATTTGGGTGAAGTTAGGAGAGAGTTGTCAGGGTGCAGAAAGATAATGCAGAATGTGCAGAAATACAATACACTTAAAACATCAATTGACTTAAATGCCTGTACCGTAACAGCAGACCCTCTGTAATTCTTAGCTTCAGACTTACCCTGTCGCCAACCAAATTTAGCAATTAGAAACCATTTGGCAGTAAGTTAGAAACCAATGATTTTGACCTTCATTCAATGTCAAATTCATTGCCAGTATTTCTTTAGGGACCCTAGCAAAGAAGGTATTATTCAAAAATTCCTTCTATTCATTCCATATACTTACTGTACATACTACTTTTTATTGGGATCCCATTTGCCCGATTTATAACCCCATTTGCCATTCTCATAACCCCATTTGTCTTTTTAACACCCCCATTTACCCTTTCATTGACCCCATTTGTCTTTTTTATATCATTCCAATTTATTTGCCCATTTTTTAAAAATCCTTTTACATATAAAAACATATAAATGACATAGCATAGCCTAATTTACATTTTGTTGACTTTTCTAGATGTAAACTGCCCTTTTTCCATGCATGGTTCACTTGAAGTTCACAGCCAATTGGCCAGTTGTTGCCTGTTTTAAGACCCATAAATGACAATTATTAAATTATGAAGTTTAGTAGGGTGATGTGCCTTTAACCTTTACTTTGTCCCTTAATGTTCAAAGGTGTGAGCACCTTGATATTTTATTTTATTATTAATTTTAATGTTTATTTTTTTTAGCTTTGGACGTTTCAAGCAAATGTTATGTTCACTTTACTACACAAGTAGTCCCTCACATCACAAACTAAGGCAATCACAGTAGAAAGCTGGAACTCAAAAAAGAGTTTGCGACTAACTTCAGCTTCCTAAATTTTTTTTTTGTCTTTGTGGATTCTTAATCATAGATTTCCACAAAAAGAAAATGATTAACACACCAGTGATGTGAGTGAGAACAGCCAAGTCAGTATAGTGAAAAATAGATTTTAAAAAGAGTGAGAAAAAAAAAGTCACTCATTTTGGAAGAATAATCATTTAAATTAGACATAATTAAAGTTCCTTAAATTCAGACCCACTTCTGTCACCTGACTGTTGAGCCCCTATGGTTGATGGATTTTTAACAGGTAGGAGAGGGATCCTATATTCCAATTTTGTATGCATTAGGGAGGAGTGGTATGAGAAATGAATGTGCACCATATTTTTTCTAAGGTAGCCATTTGATGTTAAATTTTAATTTGAATTATTAATATTTGTAATGATAATACCTAACCTAAATCAATTTTTGATTTGTTAATTGCATCCATCGTAAAATTTGACATAAAGAACATGCAGTTGTAAGTGCAAAACAAAATGGTTTTCAAGATCCAGTAAAGTAATTTTCTATTATTATAATCATATTTGCTAAATAATATAAGCACTTTGCCTGTTAAATAATCAAAGAATCATCTGTAACATTAATAATATTTTAATGAGTATAGCAATGAGTTATGATTTAGAGAGTTAACATTAATGATAAACACTCTGATATCTTTCAGGACTATGTTGAACAGCTGCATGGACAGACAGTAAAGGATAGAATAGGAAGGCAACTTTCAGATCTTCAAACTCAGTTAGCAAAGCAAAAATCGAAGATAGCCTCATTGGTAAGTTTAATCACTCAATTGTATGAACCTATTACTTAAGGAAAATCCAACCTCAACATGGACCAGCTTTTTTTGGTGTAATAATAGCAAACGATATTAATTGTCGGTTCTGGGTCGAATCATTCTGTTTTGGAGGTTGTTTTTGTTCTTCTCAGGACATCCCAAAGTTTCAAGTTTCATGACCATTGCCTAAACACATTAACATTTGGTGGACAAATAATAAGTGATATTCAGCCTGTATGAAGTTATGTAATAAGCATTGACCTTTGAATATTAGGCCATGCATATGTTTGCATCAGCCGCATATCGATAAACCTCCGATCTGTGAGGGTTTGATGATTAGACACCATCAGCTTGTGGCAGTTCGAGCGGAATGTCACTATATAAGATATGCCACTCGTTGAATTGGCCAACAGAGAGCATACGTGCATACTAAGTGTAGAGACTACAGTACGAGACTGCTTGTAGGGAAACATTGATAATGGTGTCCAACAAAATTTTGTTATCGGGGTACAATATACTGTACTTTCTTGAGATTTTTCTTTTTCTTACTGTTCTAACATCTTTTCTATTTGTCATTTGTATTGTATCGTCATTGAAATTGGAAAAAATATTTAATGCAAAATAAATTAAGTTTATATTTCATTTAGCAAATAAAATAAACAAAGTCCCTTCAAAAATGATCGATCATTGGAATATTCAATTCAAGCCTTATTCTAAAAACATAATAATTACCATGAGAATAAAGTTGTCTCCTAATTAAGGACCCCTCCAATTAAAGACTAGTGTTCTGTGGTCCCAAATTAACAAATGTCTTTTATTCTTATTATTCTAATTAGAGACCAAAGCTGCTAAAGACCATCGAAACCCTGTTTCAAAAGTGGTATTTGATTGGAGGGCAGTGGCGTATCCAAGGGGGGGCCCCCCACAAAAAGCTCGCGCCCCCACGCGATTAGGCTAGGCTAATGCTTATGCTGTCACGGTTAACGTGTATTCGGGAATCTAAGAAGCAATATTTTTCAGTGGGTGTGGCCACCGAAAATAAATTCGACGCCCCCTCATATTTTGGTCGCGCCCCCCCACCAGCCCCCCATTTTAATACTGCTAGATACGCCACTGTTGGAGGGAGGCCAGTAATAACAAATGTTTAAATTCTCATAGTGATAAATTAATCCATTAAGCTCTAATCAGTTGAAGATAAGGTATCATTGTGACAAGGATAATGACTTCAATTGTAGAGGACCAACAGGAAATATAGCAGGAGTATACTGGCTTTACTTCCACTACTGTATGTTTTTCTTGCGCTCCTCAACCATTAAAAATACGGTATTATAAATAAGTACACAGTGCCAGTTATCTTGGCACTTGTTGGTGCTAGCTTGGCCTGGTGGTGAGTGTTACTTTGCTTTTTTGTGGTACAATTTCTTATTTCCTTCAAATTCTGTTGTTTTCAGATACCATGCTGAGCTGATGTTAGAAATGCTTTGGGTGTGCTGTTGGGCATAGTTTAATTTTAAATGCTTTGTTACAGTCAGTTTATTTTAGCAGAAAGGCTTTTAGGCAAGGATTTGGGGCCAATTTTATTATTCAATATTTTTAAAATATTTTTCTCATTTTCATCTAATCAAATTCAAATATTTTAATTTTAATATGCTATTTATCATTGATTATAATAATAATAATAATAATAATATAATGTCGTTCTTATATAGCACTTCATGCCTTTACAAGGCCTCTAAGTGCTTCACATTACTACCCCGGTCATTGGATTAAACACATGGAACACATTGAAACACCAAATTAAATTAGTAAATGAAATTATATTATCATTCCATAATATTGCAGTTAGTAATCGGCGCAGGTTGTGTTGGAACCTACGTACCCACTTGTACTCCTGGGTGGAGAGAGGCAACCGTAGATAAAGTGCCTTGTCCAAGGACACAAGCGATTTGCACAGCCAGAGTTTTTGAACCCCCGACCTCAAGGTTGGGAGTCCAAGCCAAAACCGGTGTGCCGACCGCTCCCACGATAAACTGTGTAATCTAGTAGTGTTAACGTATGATTAGTGTAACATGTGCTCTGTACAAATTTTATCACCTGCTATAGCCTATGCCACCAAGTTGGTGATGCCAGCTTTTCGTATGGGTTAGATATAACGCCAGCTACCTAATGAGCCAGTCAAACGTTACTGATTTTGACCACAGTTTAAGGGTTTGATCAATCACTGTCAGGAATAGCACTTGAAAAAGAAGGACATACTCTTGATTCAAACATCATAATCACACAGTTCATCATATGATCTCTAGTGTGGCAGACAACAAATTTTAAATTCTAAATGATCAGTGAACCCATCCGAGTAACAAGTAATGATCCAGCTGGTGGCTTTGTGCCTCAAACTAGAGAAAAAAAATTCAATAAATGCTCGATTTTGGTTTTATTTTCAAATGTTTACCTCATTAACTAGGTTAATAATTAGGATTATTAAAAGGTTATGCACTATAAAAAAGATGTAATTTGGCTAGACGGCATCACAGGATGAAGCACTCATAATGTCTATACTTTGAATAGGTGCATAGACACATGAACAAGGACTCAATATATGGCATGCGAACATATCAGAATGCCTAAAGCCACCTCTATTATATGCCCACTTTTAATGAGTGAGGAGGTGGATAATAATTTTTTAATGTTTTTTATCTCCCTGGTATTGCACATTGAATATTAAAAAAAGGAAATGGTTTGCTACCATTGTTCCTCAAAGGTTACAGCTCTGTCACAGTGACGCTGTCTCCTATTGACTCGAAGTATATGACGTTCAAATGAATGTTTGGCTTTTTTTAAAATTTATATTTTTCATCTGGTATAAGTCTTATTACAAAAATACTGTATTATCCCATTATCAAATAACAGGAAATCATTTTTTTTAAACAGTATATATAGGCTAATTTGTCACGTACACCAGGTTAATTTAAGTTTTTTTTTCCTTGTTACTTGTTACAATGTACAAACCAAAGATCTGATGTATCATCATTATGTTTAATTAAATGAATATTTAAGTTTAGCCTTTTTGAATGCAAAATTTTGAACATCCTTAGTTTGTCATGTGAAAATTCATGATTTTCACAAAAGTTAAGAAGTTACAAAGGAAAAAACTATGCTGTGCGCTCGTTCGCCAACTTTAATAATGCTCTACAAATGGCAATTTTAAATAAGTAATCACCTGAGAAATAATAGCTCTATAGAATGGTTTTGTCATGAGAATTTTGTTTTGTTTTTTCAGGAAACCTTGAAATCGAATCAATGCCAAACATTTAAAAATGTTGCTGACCTAGTGACAAATACCAAGAATAGTCTTCTAAATCAAACCTACACAGAACATAATTCAACAAGTCTGTTCTGTAAGTATGGATATTAAACATTTAAAGGAACCATCATCTCTTATTTATTTACCAAATTTATATAACACATTTTTCATGAATACATTAGCAGGCAGATTCCAAGTGACCCAAGTTGGGAAACCTATAGTATTTCCATGATACATCTTGTTTAATTGAGTTTTCTTAAAACATCTCATTGTATTTTTGTTTCTTGTAGCAATACCCATTGCCAATAGCTGTTTTCATGCAAACAAACTAACTATACAGAAGTAAAGACATGCAAACATTCAGACACATACAGAAGATAGATTAGTTTCTGGGAGATTTTTACTTGCTTGTGTGGGAGACTGTGTTGACTACCACTATAAAGTCAAAGTAAAACTTTATTCATCCTTCAACGAAGGAAACTGATAGTACTCACAGAAAACTTGCAACCTCTGCACATTCAGATATTTTATTGGTATATGTGCAACATGGTTTGCTTAAAATGTAGACGATTTTTTAATGAAAATTTAATAGGATGTTAATGTAGCACAGATTGGTATTACTTTAAGCGGAAATGCTCTGGGAAAGTATTATTTTCCTTTGTCATCGGATACCTTATCAATCGTACATAAATATGCAATCTAATTCCATGGAGAGTATTGTATTTCTAGCTGTAGGCCTACATGTAACTAGGCACAAACCAATTTTATTACAAATCATTGTATTCCTACATGCGCCTTTCTGTATACCTCCTAGGTGAAAGTAGTTCAAGTGCCTTGCCTAAGAACACTTTCACCAGCCTAGCTCAAAATCCAACCCATGGTCCTTAGATCTCAAATATTTTGCAGCTATGCAACATGTTTTCACTTTCATGGCATCATAGTTACTGTTAATCTATATAGACACTACCTGTTCAAAATATATAGATAGCATCTATAGATGGATGGACTTTCGGCTCAAAAATTAAGACATATATACCATAACCCTAACTGTGATATGTCTGAAGAACTAGATCTTAAATCCTGAAGAATAAAATAAAATAATTACAAGGTATTTCAGGAATTTCATGAACTTATTTAATTTATCATTAACAGACCAACTTATAGATTTATTTAAAGGAAATCCTTGGTTTTTGCACTCAACTTGCACCAGCCAATAGATCACAAGTTCATCTGTCAAATGAAATGTAATCTTTTCACTCCTCAAGTGTATGATTACTAAACAAATGGTCTGCAATAATTACTTTGCTGTAATGCATTTCACTTTTTAGATGTAGTTTTTCATTCTTTTGATTAAAAAAAAAAATTAAACAAGCAGTCTGTTTACCATCTAAGCTTTCAACTTCAACTCTATAGAAATGTAATATAATAGCAGGTACTTAGGACAAAATAAAGTCCTGTGTTTCTGAATAACTGTAACAATCAACGGTTGATTGGGAATTTTATATTTTCAAACTATGAGCACAACGCCAAATCGCTATATCATGATACCATTTATTTTTGCTGATTTAAATGTAACCATTGGGATAATTTTCTTGGTTAAGTGCTCTTCATTAGGGGGAGTAGGTGTTGATATTTGAATTTTAAAAAACTTTGGTTGATTCTGCTAGGACTATGCCTCCAAAAACATGTTTAATTAACATGCAACGAATCATTCATATCTCATTGGCAATCATTACAAATTTCTGATTACAATGAATTGAAATATAGCAATTAAGGCATAGTTTCGTGTCAGGTACCAGAAGATAGGTACAATGACAATATTATATCCCACAGGAAATGGATTCCCAAACTATTTGTGGCACTTAAAGAAAGGTACCTTTGTGTTGGCACCAATTAAACACAAGGACGCTGTTTTCCTCAGCCAAAATAGTGTACAGCCATTTCATCTTATTTCTAGGTGCATCAATTTGATAATACAGAATTACTAGTAGTATAAGTATACATACCAGGGAGACATCTCCCTGAGTATACCATACATTTCCTGGTGTTATTTCATTATTTTTCCAAACTTATGGAATACCTTTTGCATCTGTTTTATTTTTTGACCCACACAAGGTTTTCAAACTATTGATTTTTTTTTTTCGCAGTTCTTCTCTAGCCTTTGCACCAACTAAACAAAAAACTTATGTTGGAAAGATTTTTTTTAAATTGGTTGTAATATTTAATTTGAAGTTTTGTTTACCATCACACTGCCCACACAATGGTTCAGAGGCTGTTTTGCAGGCATTTGTCAACACTAGAAATTTGTATTTGCAGTATTTGACACACTAATATACATTTAATATACTACATCCAAGTCTGTATCATTGCTTCCATTCTGTTGCTCTATGGCTTTACATTTTGACAATCATGTATAGCAATAAAACAACCCTGTGGCATGACATAACTTACAGGTAGCTAATGAATGTTTTTAAACAGTGGTACTACAGTATACTGTATTGATACCATTGAAGTCATCTACCTAGTATCGTCACGGAGGAATAAGTTTTATTCCTCCATGGTATCATATAATAACATTTATTTTGTGACTTTCTATTGTTACAGAGTGACTTAGTACAGAGAAAACATCTCCATCACACAAAGCAATGTCTTTTAGCAGTACGATTTAAATTTTAAAAATAGTGTGTATACATTACTTCCGTAAATAGAAACACCCTTCAGCAGTATGTTGATTGTAACCAAAAATAAACATTGAGAAATGAACCACAGACAATGTGGTTGTAAGCAACATAAAACCCACCACAGCACCCTGCGGTATAGTGTCCTGTAATCTGATTTATTGTATTCTAAATAGTACAGTACTGGATACGACATTATGAATTTATTTCATTGTTATTTTCAAAGTAAAATCAGCATTCTCTTTAATCCGAGGATTTTATTTGCAATTTTTCCTATGTGGAATGTTGGCTTTAATTTTATCACAAAACAAAGATAATTTTGTTGAATTTAAAGTAAATATCACATTAATATGTAATCATTCCAAACTTTAGAGAAATTTATAACAGGAAACATCAGAAATAGAAATATATTGAGAATATTTAAAATATTTTTTTTTTATATAGGCTTTCAATATTTTCTTCCCTATGTGTATTAAGAAATAAGAAAGTTAACATTTATAAACTGAAAATGTTCATTAACATATAGTGTAATTTCACCAATTTGAAATTCTGACCTTTATTCCATAATGTTTATACATCCACCCACATGTGCTGGAATGACAAGGGAGATGTTTTGACTGAGAACAAAATTCCAACATTACAAGACCCATGATCCTAGGATTGGTAGCTGGTTATTAATATAGAATACCATTACCATACATTTATTACAGGATTTGACCGTTCATAGAATCAATCAAGATTGCATACATATTTCTAAAAGAGCTTACAGTCTGAGAATAGACTCAGCTGTCTAAATATGGGTGGTTAATAGTGCCACATCCTGCCCTAATAACATGTCTCTAAACAGCTGCTGTACTATTCTCATCTAGTATTCAAGCTTAATCTGTTCTGTAATTAACATAAACAATTTTTCAGATATAGTTGGTAAAGTTGTTAGTGTTATTCTCATCTACCCACCTCCCTCTAAACATCTGTAAATAGATTTGTTTAGGAAATGAGTATAAAGTTCAAATATTTATTATTATTATTATTATTGCAACTTCATTTTCACACTGAAGGCTTGTCTCACCCGGTGGGTGTCATTCTGCAAGTCCGTGTTGTCATTGAAATTAATTAACTGTATTCAGAATGTTATGTTGAAATTTGTATATGTTTTCCATTTCTCAAAAAAATCCTGTCTGTATCCATAAATACATAATAATAATAATGAATATGATTTATATAGCGCAGATATCCACTTAGAAAATGCTGCTGTTTATTAAGGATACAATGCTACATTATATTCTTTTCTCAACTTCACCACTACTTTATCATTTTTTGAACATTATAAGTTTTAAGTATCATATGTATTTTTTAAGGATAGATAAATGCTGCAGCTGGTATTATATCTTGTTCAGTATTTCAAAGGTTTTGCACTTTCATTCTAATTGTATAGAATTCAGTTTCATATTGCCAGAGGGCCATTAATACACATTTAGCGTTTGATGTGGTGCATACCACTTTCCTACTAGGAAACTGCTGGATCCCCTAGACATTTTTCTTATGCCTTGTCCTAAATATATTTTTATTATTATTCATCATGCATAACAACACATAATAAACAAAACAAGTTTCTTATTTTTCTTGGTGCCCAGGACCTCCACCAGGGTTTCTCTGGACTCTACCAAGGTTGGGTTTTTCCCTCATATATCCTTGTTGAGCCACCATCGCATTGCTCGTAAATCTTTTTCCCTCCCTAATTGTATATAGTTTTATTGATTTTCATAAAGACATCCCTTGTTTGATTGCAGTACTTAATCCAATGTTCAATTGTCTTCCTCAAATTATACTCTAGAAATAAACTCTTGAAATTCTCAATATATGCTTGAAATTGATTGAAAGTTAAAATAAACATGCTTTAATAATGGGATGATAATATATATTTCCTCCATAGAAACATGAGGAACATCTTCATAACCTCTGCAACAATTGAGGAGGCAGGCAGAGAATAAATTATGTTTCTATATTGGTTGAAATTTAAGGCAAAGGCAAAAAGAATCAATCAACATACGGTCAAATGTAATTCATTAGAATGAAAGCTTAGGAAATGATCTACTCATCTATGAGAAGAGGAAACAATTTGTGTCTATTCTATTTGATTGATTTAATACATAAAGATATATTTAGTGATTTAATTTATACATCATGACAATCATGCAAAGATTTCAATGACGCACAGTGCGCATTGAAAACAAATTCTCATTATTCCCCTTAAAAAGTTTATTGTAAATGTAATGGATAGTTCCTAAATACTATATCAAATGATTCCTTCTTTTCAGCTGCGTTGTCTCTAGAACTGGATAAGCGTTTGATCACAGCATTTACACAGCATCCAGCATCCTCCTCACAAACACTCGCTCGTAATACATCACATGACCTCTTATCCAAGTACCTAAGAACTTTCTCCGTCTCAACTCAGACTGAGTTGCCACGGACACCGAACCACCACTGCGATCAAGACCACTGGAATAACCGCACTCACCGGAAAATTATACCTGGTGCAGATCATTCTATCCACATTTCATGCGATTGTAACCAGCACGCAGGGTTTGAACGTTTGGATACAACTGATAGTAAGTTGCACACTTTGCAGGATCTGTTAGACGAAGATTCAGATTCATCGTGTGATAGTGTATTCTATTCTGCAGTTCATACTCCTACCAGACTACATTCTGTTGACCTAATAAACCAATCTCCAAGGTAAGTGAAGGGTTTGTTTTTTTAAGTAATGGATGGATTGTAAAGGGGCAAGAACAGTGGTGGATTCAAGGGGGGTGGGGGATGGGTATTCCAGGCAGCCCAGGCCCCCTAAAATGTTTTAAATGGAGAAAAAAAAGGTAATAATTATAGGGTGAATAGAGGATAATTTCCAACACGTTCAATCATGTCAATGCCTGTATTGCATTGCTTTTCTGAGAGACATGTAATTTTTGTAAATGAATTTTATGTCTCCGCATTTGTATTTTGTGATTGGGTATATTGCATAGTCTGTGTGTTTATTATCAAATAATTAAAATCCATGATCAATTGTTGTTTTTATACATTTGTATAATATGTTAATAGGGTTGATATTTTGGAGCCAAGGACCCACTACCTATTATTAGTGTATATTAGATTTTCATTTTATTAACTGCCTATATTACACAACCGAGATATGTGTTGATCCCATCATCATTAATATTGATGCTACATCAGCCGTCACGTGGTGCTGCAAGTTCTCATGATTTTCACATGACTTTTAGGTTTAGTTACCAAGAAGAGGCAATGCCAATCATGCAACCACCAAACATTGCAGAAGGTCTTGATGAGAATTGTAATAATGGCATCCGATCCTCACCAATTCCTCCAAACATTACATTCTGGCATTCAGTAAGTTTTAATTGGTTCTTATTTTTGTTACTAGTAAACTCTCATAACTGTATTTCTATTGGTCATTTTTGTTTAACTTCCTTTCATTATTTATTTAGTTTAAATTTGTCATGATAATGTTTTAACTCTCACAACTGCGAATTGTGTTTTCACAATTGGTTGTATTAAATTTCATTTTCATTTAATACACTATCCCTACCATGGGATATACTGTTAAATGTTGTTGCTTTGTTTTAAATCTTAGTACTAAGTCTTGTGTTTGTATTTTTTATGTTTAATCAATTAAAGACTGTCCCAGCCTTGTTATTGTTGTGTTTTGATTCACACAACTGGGGGTTGCATTTTCATTTGTTGTGTTTGATCAATTTAGTTTTGTTATTTATTAACTCTTAACTATTAAAGTTCTGTCAGACAGATAAACAAGCCAGATACAGGTCAACAGAGAAATTTTTAGGAATTACATTTCTTTAAAGCATTACTGTATATATGTTTGTCCAATTTTCCTATTACATCTAATGTAAATTACAGAGTTTCTCATGATAGGTTCAATATAATAATGAAAATCATCAATAAGAAATGGCTCTACATTACTTCATACTCTTCAAGTTCCCAGCCTGAACCTCCTTGCTTTCTAATTTAATTGGGGTGGTTGGTTAGTTACTCTAATAGATTAGCTGTCAACACAAGATTCTGATGTAAATCACTGATATTCTATTGGTAAATAAATAAAAAATTGTGCTAAAAATATCTAGTAGCAAAGCAGAAAAAGCTTTTGTGTTAACAACAATATCTGATCCATCAACAGGTGATAGTTGTAAACATTTTTCTTATACAAGAACTCTTTTTTTTCTTTTTTCCGTCATCACCTCAAGATTTTCACCATACGTTAGTCCTTCACATTTGAATGAATTGTGTATTCTTAATACATTTAATAAAATAGATAGCGTGTTCCTTGAAGCAGATCATTTAGTTCTGTGATGTATACATATCTGAAGTGGTTTTATACAGCATTTCATGGCCTGCTGGCTTAATTTCCTTCACTGCAAAAACCTTGGATACTGCAAATACCTTGTTCGTGTAGGTACTTTCCTTCTGACCACAGGGTGTGGGTTGGATTCCTGCAATGCAGAATTTTTCTGATGACGAAAAATAACAAATCTTTGACTTAGCTTAACAATACATTATTAAATTAGATAAGAATGCAAAAAATTAATAATAAATGAATGATTTTTGTATGTTCATTTGCAGAAATCATCTTTAGAACGGCAGGAAGAAGCTCAGAAGATGGCTGACATGTTAGCAAATTCATATGCTAGACCAGCTCAGCAAATATCATCACATTCACCATCATCACAAACCGATGAGGATGGGTATTTATAGATTTCTTTAACCTTAAGAGTTTTCAACTTATGAGAAAAAAATTGTGGAATTTGATTAGATTTTTTAACAGGATGAATGCATTGGAATTTTCAGGCAAATATACCTTTTAGTAAATGTTATATTTCCACATATTTATATAATATATTTTGCTTCAGATTATTGCATCCTGTGGCTCTACCTACTAGGAAACTTTCACCAAGACTAAAACGAAGATCACAACCAGACAGAAGCAGGAGATCTTTGCCAGGTAGGTGGTAGCATCAGAGGCAGGAGAGCTTAATTCATCGAACATTAGTTCTTAAAAATTTAGATATCCTAAATTTTGCATCCCGTGATTGGATGTTATAAGCATTATGCCTCTATCACATGATCAAGTGACACCATTACTTAAGTGTTGATTGACCTGTGTATGCCATGTGAATGACACAATTCTATAATGGCTTTTACACTTTGAAATGCTCCATATCTGATATGTAGCAATTATGTAATTATCTCCAACATTGTATTTAAGTTATTGCAGGTTGTAAAAAATGGTATAGTCAATTCTGACGGAAATAATTCTTATTCTGCAGAGTACTAGAACATATTTACTACTTATCATTGTCACAGCTGACTTCACTCATCGCAGCATGAGAACTTTTAATGAATTCTTTTACATTTTGAATTTTAATATTCTTTTATGCAGTAAATGTGAGTGATCTACTAAATGGTAATGTGGATGATGTTGAATTAAGTGAAGCAGATAAAGAATTGAATTCTAAATTGATTGAAGAATCCAAGAAAGCCTCCGAAAGGTTTAAAAATAGAAAAGGAAGGCGGGCAGGTGCTGGCGGATTAACAGGTATTGTGACTTGCTACATTAAAATATATTCAGAAAGTAAAACACAGTAGAGATTTTGTATCCTGAAGTGAAAGTGAGATGTAATTTGTTGTTGTTCTTACCACATTTATAGTTGTTGCTGTTGTTTTTATTTCATATTAATGTAAGAATATTTATAATGAAGCATCCTAGATTCAAATCTTTAAAAAAAAACCAATTTGAGATTTTGTGTAACAACTAAATTTATTGGCAAGTACATATATTGTATGATTGAATTTAATACAGCGATAGAGGGCAATCTTTTATTATCAATACAATTATGTAGTAGCCTACAATCATTACTATTTTCAGTAGTAGTAGTAGTAGTAGTAGTAGTAGTAGTAGTAGTAGTAGTAGTTGGACAATACTGATACTGTGTTTCAATTTACATGGAAATTTTATATTTTTGATAGAGTTACTAGCAATGTAATAATTAACTACCATCTTTGTACCTGAAGATGATTTGATATGTTTCTGTTTATATGATATACATGATGAACTAATGATTTTTGATCTCACTGTTTTTATTATTCCTTATGTAGGAAATAGTAATCGTTCCCAGTCACCATCTCCCCGGAATATAAACAGTGAAGATGATAGCGAATCTGATATTGAAGCAAATGGTAAGGACTCTAAAGGTTAAGGTAAAGGCTGCTTCTGAGATTATACTTATTGAAGTACTAGATTGGCATGAATGGCCACATGCTTTTGTTGCATTCTACACTGCACTCAGTAGATAAGTTTGTTTGAGTCGACATTTTACTTCTCACTTCATTATTTGATGAAGAACTCGGGATGTTTCCATTTTGAACATAGATGGATAAATAGCAAAATGAGATTATATACATATTTGATAATATAAACATTTATATTGCGACTTTTGTCCAAAGCCGGGCACTCGCTGGGTCATATGATCGTCACACGACGAATCCAACTCCGCTCCCAGTGAGCACTACATGATGTGACGCTCTCTGCTAAAAATGATTAGTTGTGCGCGCATCGTCACATTGCGTTCTTCATAGAATTGCGTCGTCTGACCGTCATTCACAGTGAGTGTCTGACAGATATTTGCATCCTATCACACAAGCAAACATTAAATTTTTTTAAATGCTAAGTTTACTTGTTATCAGTTGTCTTGGATAGATATAGTTATTTAAGTTCTTGGTATACCTTTGTTTAAATATACCGAAAATTCTAAGTAAATGTGTTCTTATTTTAAGTTTATAGTAATGGTAGCAATATACTGAGATGACTCCTAAACTATTTTTTTCCCCCTCTTAGAACTCGGTAAACCATCTTCCATCAATATCCAAGTACCCACCTGTGCGTTTGTTAGCCAGTCATCACCAACAACCAAGCTGGGGCAAAATCCTCAATTACTTTCTGATGACATCATCAATCAGAAGATGGATGAGGATGATCAAATGGTTTGTTCATGATTTTTTTCTATATTGAATAAAAATGCAAATATAGTTCTGATAAAAACATATGGCATTATGTAGCCACAGAAAGGTGCAAAGCATTTGTCATTATGGGAAATATTAACATACATAATGTGTAGCTTCCTCTACACATGGTGAGTGTTATTAATAATAATTATTTAAGAATAAACTAAGTACTTTCAAGAGAGCATCCACTCCTCACCAGACACTCATCCAGACTTCAGCCTGAAGGTTAAGAGTTTGAACCTCAGCCACTGCGGCAAGTGCTCCAATAGAAACAATAGGTGCCAAGGATAGCTGACAATATTGCCACAGTGAAAACCTTGTTGGGAGCGATGAGCAAATCTGGGAGTGATAAGGAAATCATTCAGATATCTGAATTCTCTCACAAAATTCACAAAAAACATTTTTTCTATAAATATGAGAGTGGTAATTTTGATAGAAACATGGATAAGCTCATGAAATAGACATGTTTAGTACTATTTTATTGTGATATAAAAAGTAAAAATGACTAAAATATTCATAAATCTTCAGATAAACAATGTTTAATCTTAGATTATATTCTCATGTCTGCAGCAATCAAGTGATGACCAGATGGATCGACAAGAAGCCGACTTAGATATAGACATTAAAACAAAAGTGGATATAGACACTAAAGGGCACTTGGATGTAGACATAAAAGCAGATATACTGAAGGTTATTGGTCCTGTCCAACCTGATCAAGCCAAAGCTTCAGCCCAGTTGTCAAAGCTAAGGATGGTATGAAGCTTATTCACTACATTGTTATATTACATCACTGGTACCATACATGTGCAACATGTACATTACTTAGGTATTATTAGTATCATCAGTCCCTGTCACCATCATTGTTGTAGATTTATGATATATATTTATAATAATGTCATCATATCATTACCAATCAGAGTGATTATCATTCTTATCAGAAACATCTGTCATTATGTTATTATATACATTTCTGTCTTCATAATACAGTAAGGTATTGTTATCGTCCCTTTTCTCTTCCAATTTAGGAACACAAGTTTAAAAGAAACCCACCAGTATTCAAGATGCCAGAGTTAGCAGAAGCATCGGAAACAGAGAGCACCCGCGAGGCTGAAAGCCCCTGTGAATCAGATGCCTCGATGCTAGCTACACATGAAGTTCCACAATTAATATCAGAGAATAATGAAATACATGAAGACATACCTAGAATACCACCTGAAAAACTACCAGAAGAAACCAAACCTATGGATATACCAGAAACGCAGGAGTCGCAAATAGATACTGAATGTGGTGTTGAGAAAACAGATATAAAAACTGATATGAAGGATAAAGAGGAAATTGTAACAAATGATGGAGATAATGATCTTGTAAAGGAGGACACAGTTGACATGGAGATGAAGTCTGCCAAGAGATTGAGTACTCTTCTTCCAGAGTCTGTACTCAGGAGTCTTGGGTTATCAAAATCACAGAAGGATGAGTGAGTATTCATTATTAAGTCCTGTTCTGACTATTAGTATTTGTGTCATGCCTAAATATGGTCATGATGACATCATATCATGACCATATATAGGCACATCATGACTATATATGGGCATACACATTTTTTTTGTCAAAGAGCTTAATATCTAAATGATATAATATCTAATCTGAGTGTAACAGTCCTCACTATTGTATGGAAATATGACTATACTAATTGCATTAAGTTAATCATCTTGTCTTGAATGACAGGTGCTTTAGTAAATTGTAGAGTCTGTGATGTCAACATACTTTAGTTTCTTCATGTATCTGGGTCTTGTCAGAAAATAATGATCAAGATTTTCAAATAAGAACAATAATAATAGCAAATTTTTTTCACGGTATGGTGTAGAGTAAACAAGAAATGGCCTTTGGCCTGTGTGTAAAAATCCTGTAACAGTGAAACTTTATTTAAGCTAGTTTCGGGATATAAAAAATGTAGAAATATGAAGACAACAATTTATATATTTTAATTATTGTTTAAATAAAATCTTGTAGACCCAATGTTCTTACTGAGAAGGAGGTTGAAGACAAGTTTTTGAACTTGGCACTTGCACTCAAGACAGACAAGTTTACTCTTGAGAAGCGAGTATACCTTCACGGAAGACAGAGGAATATAGCAGAAGCAAACATTGATGAGGAATTAGAAGAACTTCAAAGAATTCTACGGGTAATTAAATGTCTAGTAATGCAGTGTGTTTATATATATTGTTTATATAT